TGTGGGAGATGGTTGAGCAAGAAACCCTAATGACATGCTGTGCCTGTGTACTTCTTCTTGTGGCTGTGACTCCTTTGGTTTTAAACATGTAATCCTGCAGAGGAGTATATATATGCCCCTTTAGTGGGTTCATAACCTTATTTTCCTGGAGAAACCTACACAATACCTGTTAGGTAGGCAGCCTTGCAGCTAAGCCGTGCGTGGGTTAGGTGTGTGCTGATGGAAAGAAACACATAACCTCAGCTGAAGCGGACTTGCTTGGAGGCTGCTGGGACACCCACATAGGGGAGTGAACTGTGCCTTGTCTCCTTGGGACTCACAGCTGGAGAGGGGGATGCCAGATGCTGGCCCTGGGGAAAGGCATAAGGTGAATTGTCATGGGGGTGTCTGTCTCCAGAACATTGATCAATGCATATGGAGTCATGCCTGGCAAAAAGGACTAAGCAGTAACGTACCCTGTTTACTTTGGCATTGGTGGGTTTGCCAGTGCGTGTTCTCGGCTTTTACAGCAGCTCTCAGATCTTCAGGGAGTTTGGCTTTGACCACCTAGTAGGGGTTAAGCATGGGGCTTCAACAGGGTGAAATGTATGTTAGCTTTAGCAGTTGTATGTCTACTCCTGATGCAGGGCACCATGTGGTCGGTGGGAAGGCATGTTCCTCTGATGCCATCCACCTTTTACACCCAAAAGGGAGATACCCCTGAAAGAGATGTAGCTGGTACTTGCAAGTATTCATCTTGCGTACTTCGGCTGCACTGACACTTAGAGGTGGGACATGTGGACGCAGCAGGACCAGAGCAAGTTTAGTACCTTACAGAGTTGGACCTGAAGACTGTAGTGCAGGGCATCTTCATTAGGGACAAACAGGATCGTAAGCTTTTTTTCCCAGTCTATAGTCACTACTGACTATTTATTTTCTCTAAAGCTTACAGACAAATAGCTAAAAGATATGAATCTGACATCAATTTTTTTTTAAAGCCAGAAAGCATCTCCTTTCATTGGACAGGAAATACGAGATTCGGTTACTTTACTTTAAAAGGTCCCAGGCTGACAGTTCAGGCAGGGGAAATGCTGGCCCATGTTCACTGTGGTTCCTGAACAGCAGTATGGTCTCTTTTCCCTGTTTTACACCTTGCCCAGACCTGAAGGGGTTACGTTTTAAAATGAATAATGACTAAATTTATTCGTCATGGACAAATGATGACAGCTGTTGAGATGCTCCTGTTATCGCTTCCCAGGGGTAAAGTCAGGCTGGTTCCTAGTGCAAGCCAGCCCAGCCAGGCAGACTGAGCTCGTCTTCATCCGGGATTATTTGTCCCAGGTTCCTTTCACTAGCGGGGAAATTACTTCCTAGAAGTGAATTGAAGTTGCCTGGGCTGACATGGGTGTTGATGAGAATCCTGCAGAGCTACTGTTGGAGAGAGAGGGCTGAAGCCATAGCTGTTTAAATCCACGTGTGAAGACAGCATGCTTAATGAATACGAGGGGCAGAGATTGATTATGTTCTGGACTGAAAGCTGCAGCGCTCTGTGAAGCACTGTTACATCTGGGCACGCTATGGAAAATATGAAGGAATGTTGAGGAAGCTTATTTGCAGAAGGATATGTACTTGTAAGCAATTTTATTTTCTTCTAAAATAATGTAAAGAAATTGAGAAATGTAAAGCAAATAGTGTTCTCTGTTTCTCTGAGACAGCAGAGCAGTGAGCAGACAAAGGCCTCTTTTATAAGGGCATGTCTCTGACAGAGAGTACGGTATAGCCCTTATAAATGAGCACTGGGGGGGGATGTCTTGGGATGGGAGAACATCTGGTAATTTAATGTTAGAATGTGGCACTGATTTTGCATCACTGCACCTCTGATGAAGTTGAGAGTTACACCCATGATGAATTTACCACCTCGTGATTTGCAGAAAAATATGATCCTAGATCAAATTATTATCGTGAACAGGAGACAATGAATGGGGAGAAAAAAGTCTTTTTAATGATAATGTGTAGTAGCTTGCTTTTCTCTTATTTTCTGTACTCCCATGTTCAGGTTTCTTTCTGTTCTTTGTTTCTCTTTCCGTCCTGCACACGTGCTGCTGGAAGACTTGGTGTGCAGTTCTGAATGTGGCGCTGTCATTCTGCACTGCTCAGATGAGAAAATGCTGCTTGGTTATTGAAGGGATATTCTGATTTGATAAATATGTAATGCTTAGTTTGTGGACTTAATGAACAGGAACATGTGATTGTAATTCAAACATACACAGAACTGTGGGCTGGCTGGGTTTTTTTTGAGTGGTGTTTGGTGGGTTTTTTTCTCATTCTGATGCTTAAAAAAGCTTGTTTTAAATGAAAAGTTTAATTAGTAAAATGCTACAGGGGTGTGATCCTTTTAATACCTGTTTTTATGATTTTTAAAATCTATGAAATAGCAAACCACACCCTCTTCTTTCAGAGGGGTGAGGCTTTAAAAATGTAAATACCAAGAGGAAGCAAATTGACTAAGACTAGATAGCTTGAAAAGCAGCTGATGGAGACTTTAATTACCAGATGAAAGTAGTTTTGAAGTAGAAAAGCATCTTTTGTTTTGAATATGATTGACCTTCTCTTGACTGGTAAAATATATATATGTGACAATCATTTGCTTAGTATCTGTATAGGAGCTTTTGAAATAAATGCAGTTGGGGCAAATTTTACCAAGAAGTTTTTGTATTCAAAGTCTGTGCAAGCCTTTCTGCATCACTTCCTAGAGGCTTCAAAGGTTGTATGTTTTAAAGTTTATATTGATCTGCCATGACCTTCTATGCAATTATTGCCAAATAATATTTTGAAGTAATTGTTGTTTGAACTAGACTCTATCTTTGAGGGGATCAACAACAACAACAAAAAGCAAACAAATCAGTCTTACTTGTAAAGAACTGGCAGTGGTAGGATTTGCGGGGTAACATACCTCCTAGCCTTGCAGACAGTCAGTCCTGTGATTATTGCAAAAAATGAAGGGGAGGAAAAAACTAAGGTAATTCAGAATTTAATTTGTTTTTAAGCTCCAGTTTGTGGCCTTGTTGTATATTTTTCTATTAGGTGAGAAACAATATTAATAAATCACACTAGAAAACGGTAATAAATCTTGAGTTGCTGCATTAACACAGAATATAATCAAGCAACTTGTAAAGAATCTGGTCAGGCTAAACAGTCTCCTGCAGTGAATTTTCATTTAATTGAATTACAAATGTATTTCCCAATCCTTTAATCATTCTCATGAACTCTTTTCGAATTATTTTTGAATTACATGTGTCAGAACAGGACCAGCGTCAGTAGGGAGGTTGCATGTTCTCCGTGGCTGACCTAGGGCTACTACAGCACTGTGTTAAAGAGAGCCCACATCCTAATTGTGGCTTATGTTCTCAGCTGTGTGACCTTAAATTCTTTGATGTTAAAGTTCATATGTTCACTTTTGTCCTGTTCACTTTTGAACAGTCCCAAATCACCTGTTGTTATAATACCCCTTTCCTTGTGATGTTACTTTTATCTTTTTTTTCCTAGCCCTTTCCCATATTCTAAGATTTCCTGAACATTAAAATTAAGGGGAGAGAGATCCTTGTCCTCCTTTCTTAAGGTGTTGTATGCTGCTGTCTAGCCACCATTTCTGTGCTGTGATTGGATTGTTGGCATTATGTGCAGGGGTGCATATTAGAAATGTGGTGTTCAGGTTTTTAGATGTTGTGGTGGTTTTCCTGTGTTCAGCTGCTAATAAGCCAATACCACTTCAGGCAAGGAAAACTCCTTAAGACTATTGGGCTGAGGACAACACAGGCTTTGCTTGCTGTTCTTTTGCCTTCCCTAGGATATGTCTGTACTGTTACCAGTTTATTTCTTCCTTTTGGAAAACTCAACCTGTATTGAAAATCATTAATTAGTGTCTAACTAGGAGCCTTTATTTGTTACTAGATGTTCCCAGGTGCTGCTTTCCTGAATAGGGATGGATTAAAGCCCCTGGTTTGAGTTTTTACCAAGAGAAATTTTGCAAAGGAAATGTTCCTGAACTGGTGGAGAGTGGGTGCATACATTGGACTGTCGGGGAGGGATGGACATGAAGCAGGTCTCAAATCTTGAATGAACATTAGTGTGGAGAAGCTAAGTGATGGGGACTGAGGTGGCTTTCTGGCCTCAATAAATGCGCACCATCTATACCATCTGTCCAAACACATTGTCACCTTTCAACCTAGGGCTGGTTTCTAAAGTGGATTAGCTAATCTGTGTAAAACTGCAATATAAGCACTCCTTTGGAATTGAAGTGACCTTCACTAAGAATCAAAGTGACTGTAATTCATTTTAAGATAATTTACGTTCATGTTTAGAGCTAGAGGCCACAGTTCACTTTGGATGTACACAGAAGGTTCAGTAAGTTTTAATACACCTTGTATTTGTTTTTATGAATTTGAGGTAACTTTATTTACATGTAAAGAATCTCTGATGATCATTTAAAAGAATAGAGTGGATTTATAGCTCTGGATATGTTCTGTGATAAATGGTCTGTAGTTTATCAAAAGCATGGGTGTTGCCATGCATTTTTTGTGGGTTATCCTGTTTCTTCAGTATGGTGCAGGCTGTTATCAGGGTGTGACAGGGCAGCCTGTGCTGTCTGATCCCTCCAAACATTGATCTTGGATTTTGGCTTTGATCATAGTCTTGGTTTTGCTACAGCCCATGGCAAAATAGCTCTCAGACATAAACATCAGAGATACAGACTGTACACACCCCAAGTATTATCTGCGGCTTGCATCTTTCGGCTGTGGATTTGAATTTTATTCTTTTTATCTAATGTACTCATTAAAAAAGCTTATACAGTGGCTTCAGTAGCAAGGATTGGGTTCAGTGGCCTGGGGTCATTTATGAATAACCATTTCTAGTGTCAGAGCAGATCTGAACATGCAGCGGGTTTGCTGTTGCATGGGCATGTTTTTTGGGATGCCTCTTTGCTTCATCAGATTTACAGCTGAGTGTGCTTTTTTTGGCAGATAAAATTTTCGATGATGAAGACTCCATGGATGGGAACAGACCTTCCTCAGCTAGCTCCTCTACATCTTCAAAGGCCCCTGCAAACTCACGCAGAGTTGGGATGGGGACTACCCGCAGACTTGGGTCTGCAGCTCTGGGCTCCAAGTCCTCAAGTAAGCTGATAGCATATATAAATTGACCTGTATATGAAGTATTTATAGTGCTCATGCTTGAGCTTATGCAGGGACTTCCAGACTGGCCCCCAGGATCCAATAACAAATTCTTCTCTGTGAAATCATCATGTATGTTGTCTGCATGCCATGGCTGAATTTTGGTAAGATGAATCCCCAAGCAGTCTCCACATCCCTATAATGTACTTTTCATTCCTGTAAAGTTGGACCTGTGCAGTAGGGCACTGAGGGCTATGAGTAAATCACGTTGATGTTGCCGTGTGTAGATTTTTGCCTTTGTAGCTGCACTCTTCAGCTGAACTGAGGCTGTTTATGATTGCATGCTAAACTTCAGCCCATGCAATCTAAAATTAGTCTTTCTAGTCTAATCTAAAATTGGCTTTCTTCTAAGACCTTTGGGCATTGCTCATAATGAAGGTGCAGAAAGAAAACTGAGCAGTAATTCTGAATGTGAGCAATAATTCCATATGTGTTTATAATTCTACATGTGACCTAGAGAAATGGGGAAAGTTCTCTGTATCAGGTAGTCTCCAATCTGATTAATATTCCAGAGACTTTTTATCTTCCTTATCATTTGTCTGTTTGTGCACCTGTCAGATCTGCACCTTCATCTATTGTAGATAAGATTAAATTCTTTAAAATAAAATCTTCTGTATAATTAAAGTAAATATTCCCTTTTATCTTTCATGCTGTGTCCCCTGTTGAGTGACTACTGTAATGACTTCCCTAATGTGCCCTCTGTGCCTAGGACTTGAAGGATGCTGTGATTGTCTAGTCTGTGCCTGGCATTGAATTTCCCTGTCTCTGCTTTCATTACATCTGCAGCACTCTGAGGCCTGCATGGATGATGAATTTTCTCGTTAATAAGTGCCTTGATAGCTGATGGTTTCTTAATTGATTCTATTGTTAAAAAGATAGAAAAAGCGTTTTCATTTGTATGTCAGCAGCCAAAGAGGGAGCAGGTGCTGTGGATGAAGAAGACTTTATTAAAGCATTTGAAGATGTCCCAACAGTTCAGGTAAGTAGAATTACATGTTAAAACACACAGTACTAAAAAGCTGAAGATATATACAGGTTCTAGTCTTAATCATTGACAAATTGTGCTTCATTGTAATGGCAAATCTTTAAGGGGAAGGCAAGTTAGAAGTTGGAGGGAGGTAAGCTTTAAATGGTGGTATCTGCCAATAGTTTGTGTGAAACCCTCAGAAGTGGGAATGGGAGTGGAAAGGTTGTGATAAGAGGTATCACAGGAGTACATATGGGGCTGGAAGTGGCTGTGTGCTGCACAGTGCAGGCTGGTCAAACAAAAACTTAAGTCAACAGAAGCCTCTCTACGTTTCATCTGTACCATCTGGGAACTGAAGGCAATAAAGGTGACCTGTGTTTCCAGGATTGCTGCTGCTGTGAGTGTGACAACTGAAGGAAATGGATTTAGCAGAGCCATGTCACGTATCTCCTCTCTTTCACCAGAACTTTATTTATGGGGGACAGCTGAACAGCACATGTATCCACTCGTGATCTTCTGTAGGTCTTTACTAACACAGCCACTAGTAGCTGCAGGAGTGCTGTTTAAAATTGTGGAAATATGGTGAAATAATAAAATATGATCCTTTAATCATCTTGTCATTTAGTAATTTTTGATTGCAAGGTTAGCACATGACACTTAAGCAGGGAGGCACAAAAGGCATAAGAACGTAGTTGTGAAGTGATCTGATTTTTTGGAGTGAATCTTGCATTATGGTGCTACTCTGTATTTAAATTTGCAGATTTATTCCAGCCGTGATCTTGAGGAATCCATAAACAAAATAAGAGAGATACTATCAGATGATAAGCATGACTGGGAACAGAGAGTTTCTGCAGTAAGTAGTGAACTTCATGTGTGAACTCTATTAATATAAGATTTTTCTGCACTGAGCTTAATCCTGTGAAGAGGGTACTGGGAAAACCAGAGTATGTCTAGAACATAGTTTAAGTGGTGAACATCTGTTAATGTTACCCCACGCTTGGGGTAAATGTTTCCTTATGAGACTGGATTTAAACCTTATATATGTGAAGGAAAATGCTATTTTGGTATATGAGAATCTGTTGAGATAGGATCAGGTTGAACTGGAAGTCAGACAGCAAATCCAAATGTAGAACTAGAAATTTGCTATGTCAGAAGTTATATTTAGACTATCTTTAAACTTCCTGATGAGGCAGAAAATCACTTTACTTATAGAGAGATAATTTATACTTTTGCAAAAGAAGGTGTAAAATAATTCTGAAAGAATTTACACACTTAAGTTTTGAATAAGTAAATATGACTGTGGGAAATGTGGAAGTGGAAAATCAGATCTGTTGTATGCATGCCAAGACTGTTTTATTTACTGAGGTGAGCTCTGTTGTCATGATATATATAGATGCGTGATCTTGTCTCCACCAAAAACTTTCATCACTGGTGTAACAACTTTGACATGTCTGTCAAATTCTGTATTATGGATCTGAGTGGCAAATTGTGCTGATTCAGCTTACTTCAGGTTGTTTTATTTTGTGTTTTTTTTTTTTTGTTCTTTGTAACAGTGAACTTAAATGGAGCCACTGTACAGATGCATCAGCATACATGAGGGCCTGTGAAGGTGTCCAGAAGAATGTGTATAGGATGATATGGTGGTCCCTGTAATATTAATAGAAAATTTCCCATTTTGATGGGGTCAGGGTTCCACTTCTAATACAATCAGATAATAAATTTAATGAAGTCAGTGAGCATCTTCTAGATATGTCAGTATTACTCAAATCTGAATATGAACCATGCCCTTTAAGTCTAGTAATCTTTTTAATACAATAGTCAACTGTAAGAGGACCTAAGCTTTAGAAGCTGCTGTAAATAGTTGGTTTCTGAGGGAAGTAGAGGAGAACCTTTAAGATATATTTTGGCTTAAAAAGTAATGGTTGGGTTATTAACTATCAGTTTGAGCAGCTATATACAACAGTTACGGATTTCTGTAATAGCTGGTTGTTTACATTATCATACTTTGTACCTTAACCTATGAGTTGAATATAAGATCTGAAATAATAGAATTGCTTGGACTTTAAAAACAATTGTACAGAGGATCCTGGAAACCAAGTATCAGCCCTGAACATAACTGATCTTGTATTTATTGCTCATTAAAAGTCACTGCTTTCTTTTATGGTGCTAACAGTTGAAAAAGATACGCTCCTTACTTTTGGCTGGAGCTGCAGAATATGATAACTTCTTCCAACACTTAAGACTTCTGGACGGAGCATTTAAATTATCTGCTAAAGACCTGCGGTCTCAAGTAGTACGAGAGGCTTGTATCACGTTGGGGTGAGTTTACTTTCTAAATACACTTGAGTTGTGATGTATCAAAAAGGAACAGGCACTGGTTAAAACACATTTAGGATGTAACGTGGGCAGCTAGTCTACATGGTTATAGGTAGAACATGCTTTTGCTACAGCTGTTTAATACTGCATCCATGTAGGCCACTAATTGTAGTTCTGTCAAACTTTGTTCCCGAGTTTTAAACGATGCTGAGTTGAAGCATGCTGAAAGAATGAGCCAGCCAGGCGTTCATGCGCTGAGTAGGGAAGGACTGAACAATAAGGTTGAAAATGCCTGTTTTGTTCTGTCTTGGGCTGAGGTGCTTAGGTTTGATAGTTTATCCTTTGTGAAATGCTTCAAGAAGAAGGGTGCCACAGTGTTTTTTACAGTTTTTTTTTTAAATTTATGTATCCTTAAGCAAAATAGGCAGATTCAGAGGAACTGTAATATAAACTAACAAGTTCAGAATAATACATTCTTTCGGCATGATCCCATTTGATAATAAACTTTTAGCTGTGCTAGTTACATTATTTTATGCTGAACTTGCTGTTTCTCAGAGTTCAGATGGGTATAGTATAGACATTTGAAAGGAAAGTGAAGAAACTGTTTTTTCAGGCGTGGTGTGTTCTCCCGTTCGGAGTTGGAGAGGAGATGACAGTTACGAAGACTGAGATGTCAGATGTGCTTATGTCAGATTTCTGTAGAACTCACTTAATCCTCAGCATGACTTACCAGCATGACTTCATTCTGTTTTTCAGACATTTATCATCAGTTTTGGGAAACAAGTTTGACCATGGGGCAGAAGCCATCATGCCAACAATTTTTAATCTAATTCCGAATAGTGCCAAAGTCATGGCCACTTCTGGTGTTGTAGCAGTTAGATTAATCATTCGAGTAAGTATACATCAAAAAAGAACAATGTTATTTCCAAATACTGTGGAGTTTGAGGAAATATGAATGTTGATGCAATGAAAATTAGAATAAGTGCCTAATCTACTTATCTGCTTGTGCTGGGTTTGGCTGTCTCAGATGTCATGCAGCTTTGTGTAGATGATGATAGTTAAACCCTGCCATGATAGTATGAAAAATATTTCTTTGCAGAGTATGATATTTGCATCCCCCTAAGAGCTGAGCAAACTTTTTTCTTTGAATGGGCTTTAAACCTGCCTTGCAGGACACACTCATCCTCTTAATTATGCTCTAAAACTCCTCACAGACACTGCATGTTTCCTGAAACCATTAGGTCACAGAAGTAACTTCTGTCTAATGATTCATTGGGGAAGCTGTAGATAGCCTGATAGCTTTCAAGTTGTCACCACTGACAGTTTAGATCCTACTGTGTGACTTCAGCTCCTTGATTCACTGCAGCCTGTCATCATACAAAAAAATAAAATATTGAAGGTATTTAACAAATAATCAAAATATCTTCCTGTATCTTAGTGTTCCTTTACTTAGCAGTTCCTTTTTTAAGAATTGAACAGTATCTGCATGCTGGGTCAGGTCACTGAAAGAGATAGCTTTTTGTTCCATGGAACTGTTGTGTAAAGTTTTTTCCCTGGTTGTTTTTTGTTCTAGCATACACACATCCCTCGATTAATACCCATCATAACCAGTAATTGTACCTCCAAGTCTGTTGCAGTTAGAAGGTAAGCCTTAAGTTTGAATTTACTTTTGTTTTACTGGTAAATAGGTTCACGTGTACTTTCTGGTAACATTTATGTATTTGTTTTTATTCATGAAAAGGGTTGATATGCACACCTGAAGCATGCATCTTGCTCTCCCCCATGAATTGGGATCAAATTCAAAGTCAGCTGTCTTGTATAAGTCTCAGTACTGCAGAGAAGTCATTTTTCCACAGATATTTTTATTTTTTTAATTTAAACTGAACTTTGTCGTTATAACATTGTATTATTTTGGCTTTTTTACAGACATGTCCCTGTTCTCTATTACTAGCAGTTACAGTTAAATGTTTTCTTTGAGCCAGTCAGTAGAAGTAGTGTTCTGTGATGGCATCATCTGAATTTGAACTGGATGTGTTAATGGTCTCCTCTGCACTTAAAATCTGAGTATATTTCAGTCCACTCCCTCACTGTGAGACTCTTGCCCAGTCCATGTAGATCAGCTAGTTCTCTTCCACTTAGCCAAAAAATGCTTTGTGATTGCTGAATTTGGTCACAAACCTTGAACAAATAACAGTGGACTTCTGCTTTTGTTTCCTGAAATGAGGAAGGGAGATTAAATATGAAAAGATCCGTCTCCACATGAAGCTAAATGTGAAGTTTCTGTGTGAAGTCTTAACAGGGACGAAGCATAGAAAGCATGAATATTTTGGGCCTGTATCCCATTTAATGAAAAAAGAGGCTTTCTGGATTGTGTTCTATGAATCCCTCTATCCAGAGTTGAGCTGACTCTGGTTACTATTTCAGACTCTATTGGTGGCATTTGATGTTTGTTATCAGGGTCATTACCAAATTCTAATGTCCTAAAAAACTTCGTAACAAAAAACAGCTGTTGTTCAAAGGCAGGCATGGCAGTCAGTGTGTCTCTGTTAACTCTGAGAGCTCAGCATTTCTTCTCTTTCTTCTCTCAGGCGCTGTTTTGAATTTTTAGATTTGCTGTTGCAGGAGTGGCAAACACACTCCCTAGAAAGGTAAGCTCTGAAAACAAACGGGTTAATGATTTCTTGCATATGTCTGGGGGTTAATTCTGGAGAAAGGATAATCTAGGAGGAGAGATTATATCAGGTAGGTCTTGTAGAGATTTTTTGCCACAAAAAAGCATGTACATATGTGCACACACACTATTTGTTCTGGCAGTCAGAGTTCAATGAGTCTATCTCCTATGCCAGCTTTGTAAAACCTGGCTGAGTGAATCTCTCAACTCAACAGATTTTTTTTTTATGTGTGTGGTTTTTTTGTTTGGTTGGTTGGTTTGTTTTGGGTTTTTTTTTGTCTTTTTTTTTTTTTTTCCCCTTTCACCCTGAAGTGAGATGATGAAGTGAAGGCTACAGCACATCTGTTGGGAGGTTCTGAGGCTCCTACAGTACTTCAGACTAAAATTAAAAGTAACTGGGGGAAGAGACTGGGACACAATTTCCTTAGCCCTAGAATGCACAAGACTATTGAATGTTTAAGAGAGTGGTTTTGCACCCAGGCAGTTTCTGTGGCTAACTAAAGACTGACCTCTGAAGAATGCTGCTTGACTTTTCCTAGTCAGCAGTGTGGGTGAGAGAAAACTGGTTTGTAAGACCAAGTAAATAAATGAAGGCTCCAAAGGAAATGGGTAGATGTGATGAACTGCTGTTCACAACCAAGGCAAAATCAAATTACTCATTTGTTTATATGATGCATCTTTTTGTACTGCTGGATAATGTTTTCCTTATTTCAGACACATATCAGTGTTAGCTGAAACAATAAAGAAGGGAATTCATGATGCAGACTCTGAAGCCAGGATAGAGGCAAGAAAGTAAGTGGATGCTGTTGTTGGTGTCTTGTCTTCCTCCCCTTCTTTGCCCCTGTTGTGTTGTCAGTGTTATTGCATGTTGGAGATTGAAGTCCAGACAAGTTAGATTCTCTCCTGGCAGTTGATGCCAACTTTGCCTTGGCTTCAGTGGGAGTGTGTACTTCAATGAGACTGCGTACTTCAGCAGGAGTTGTCATATGAGGTTGATCACATGGAGCTGTGTTATATACGTATTGCATCTTCTAATAATGTTTCACTGGTTTCACTTTGTTCTTGTAATGTTTTATTGCCATTTTATGTCTGAGCGTGTAACTAAGAGTCTAGAATAGAGAACTTGTAACCTTATCTGTCTTTTTGACATTTGAGCTGCTTGCAGTTAACTGAGATTGCTCCTGTTTAGTACAAAAATATTATTATTTCTGATATTTTTTCTCTTTTTGGCCTGTATGCAAGACCTAGGATGAAGTGATGCTTGGCACAAGTATAAACTGGAAGAGGAGTGGTTGGAGAGTAGCCCTGCAAAAAGGAATCTGGGGGTGCTGGTTGACAGTCCAGTGCTGATTGCAGTGTGCCCTGGCAATCAAGAGGGCAAACTGCATCCTTGGGTATATTAAACACAGCATAACCAGCCAGTCAAGAGACGCAATTATCCAGCTGTATTCAGCATTGGTGTGGCTTTATCTTTAATACTGTATGCAGTTCTGGGCCCCACAATTGAAGGAAGGATGTGGAAGTCCTTGAATTGTGTCCAGAGGAGGGCAACAAGGCTGGTGAAAAGGCTGGAAGCAGTGTCCTGTGAGGAGCAGCTAAGGACTTTGGGCTTCTCTAGTTTGGAGAAAAGGAGGCTCTCTACAGCTTCCTGAGGATGAAAGGTGGAAGAGAGAGGTGCTGATCTTGACTCTCTAGTATCCAGTGGTAGGATGAGAGGGAATAGTTCGAAGCTGTGCCAGGGGAGCTTTTACACTGGATATTTTGAAGCATTTCTTTAACAAGGGGGTGCTTAAACCCTGGAGCAAGCTTCGTGGAGAGGCGGTTGATGCCCCAGGCCTGTCAGTGTGTAAGAGGCATTTGGATGCCCTCAACAACACGCTTTAACTTTTGGTCAGTCCTGAGTTGGTCAGGCAGCTGAACTAGATGATTGTTCTAGGTCACTTCCAGCTGAAATATCCTATTCTATTGTTATTTGCTCCTCTTGAAATTAGAGCCCTTGTCCTAGTACATTCCTAACTGGTATCTTAAATTAAGGAAATATTTTATTACACTGCAATAATAATATCTCTTAAATTTCCATTATGTGATTGCACTTATATTAGTATGCTGATATACTAGGATCATGCTCTCCTGGACAGAAAGCTACAGAAATTTTTTTCTTAAGAAAAAGAATGCTGTGAAACATTAAATCAATGAACAATAGATTTTATCAATCTAAATGCTGTATTATAAGCAGAGGTGTTTCACAGCAGGACTGTTTAAAACCCTTTTGAAAGATAATGTGTCCATCACTGAAAAATACAGTAGGCACTGAGACTTCACAGCAGGTGACTAGTTAAGCTGAACAGACCACTAGGGGAATGGCATGAGACTTCAGAAAACTTGCTTATTTCTCTCTTCACGTTTCTTAATTAGCAGTGTGGGTGGTTGTAAGACAGAAATTTGTTGCCTTCTAGTGATATCAGAATGCATGTGATTCGTGAGGCACTGAGGACAATTCTTGATTCATTTAACAGTCTTACTCTTAAACTGCCCATTAATTGCCCCCTGAAAAGTGCTGAGAGTCTTCGTCTCCTTTATGATGAGAATGAATGGTGTTTAACCATGAGCCAGGAGTTTTGGACCAGAGAAGAATTCTTCCCTCATTTTAAAATGCTCTTTTATTTTCAGCATGACACTGATTGGAAGTCTATAGGAACATCTATTTCCTTTTCCTTGTTTTTTCCGAAAAAGGCACTCAATAGCCTCAACTCGGTACAGATTTGTCTCTGCAAAATTGTGGGAGAGCTGTTTGTTAAACTTAAGGAAGCAAACAACACCCACTGGTGTTTTCCTGAATCAGGCCCATGTATGTGTGTTCCACTTTTGGCATGTTTTTGAAGTAGCTATTGAGCATCCATCCCGTACTAGTATTAGTCTAGTAGGTCTACCATCTCACATGTATGATAGCCAAAGGAATGAGAGTTGCTTCTGTAATAAAGGTTTATTGGGTACTTGTGTTTTTACAACACACCAAATGGTGCATTCCTCTCTTCCTGTTTTCATGTGGTTTGTCTTCTGTGTGCCTGTTAGAATGGGTCAAAGAAAGTGATACTAAGTGTGTCGTAGGGGCGGTAGATGGTTAAAATGACTAGTATAAGGAGCCAATAATGGCAGTAGTGAAAAGGGTTCTAACTCTGCCCGTGTTCTGCTGCCCCCTAAAACATGACAAGGAAATACTCACTGTATTGTGCCTTGTTTCCAGGTGTTATTGGGGTTTCCACAGTCACTTCAGCCGAGAGGCAGAGCATTTGTATCACACCTTGGAATCTTCTTACCAGAAGGCTCTGCAGTCACATTTGAAGAACTCTGACAGCATCGTGTCCTTGCCACAGTCAGATCGCTCTTCCTCCAGCTCCCAGGAGAGTCTCAAGTAAGTCTTTTGGTGTTATTACCTCTCAATTCAAACAACTATGGATAGCTCCATTGAATTGAAGGGAGCTATCACATTGCTATGTTTCATCTGGTTATCATTTGGCCTCAACACTTGTTACTCCAGATTTTTATTTTTTTTTTCTTTTAGCTAGCATTGCATTAAAATCAAAAGCCAGCAAAACCTATTATTGGCTTAAAAAAATAATAAATCAGTATATTGATTCCGTAAATAATTCCAGGTGCACTTAAAACAATGCTTGGATTAAAAATTTGTGTTTAGCATCAATCCTTGAGGTGTAAATCTGCCTCTTTCCACATAAGAGAGAGAGAAAAAAAATAAGACTTAAACTAAACTAGAGTTGTAACTGCAATTCTATGTAATGCTTCTATTGAATGTATGTATTTTAGCTCGCCTTAGAGATACAGTCAACTTGGGACTCCAATGTCTGCAATTTAAGTATAAGACCTATATGAAAAACATCTATCACTTATTGATGTAACTTTTAAAATATACAGAAAGTGTTCTTAAAATCTTCTCTTAGTCAAATAATGTGCATACTAATTCTGTTCTTAGTGCTTTTGTAAATAATTTCATGGTGGTATCATATTTACTCTTAAGCAATAAATTTTGTTAGTCTATTCCAGTATATAAATAACTTCCTATTAGCTCAGTGTGTTTACTGAGTAAATAAATAACACGGTTACTGATGACTGTGAAATACTGGTTTTGTTTTAATAAATATTTATTTATCTTCTAGCCGTCCTTTGTCTGCCAAAAGAAGTCCTACTGGAAGTACTACATCCAGAGGTGAGAACAGGAGCTGAAAACCGTGTTCAGTGTTGCTGATGAAATGTGATGAATTAGAATGAGAATTTCAGACACTATGATGTGCAAAGAACAACTCTGATCACTGCTTACTTCTCAAAATAGCAACTAAGTATGTGAAATTTTTAATTAATTTTGGGTTGTACACCACATTCTGTGCATCAGCTGCTGATATAATGCTTTTGAAAGTTAGGATAACTGTTTTTGCTTGCACCTGAAAGGAAGGCTAAAAAGCCTTGGAAACTGCAGCCAAGATACGTTTAGCTGTGCAATAAACCACCGCTGATGCTAAAACATACGTAGTCTAATAATGTGTTCAGCTTTTCAATGTACTGTCATGTATTCTCTGTGCTTTCAGCATTTTCTGGAGGCGTCATCTGCACACAAGTCCTACAGTGTTAAATTCCGTCTTTTCGCTAATCTGTTCTTACTGTTGGATGGAATATTTCTGTGCAGCTTTCCTGTTCTAAGTAAATGCATACAATAAGTAATAAATTTTAATACAAAATATAATAGACAAAACTTTCTTGGTAAAAGATAACCTGCCTTCTACACCAGACTAAGATCGGGTTCTGGCTGGCTTGTGTATGCAGTACACTCTGAGACCTTTGATTCAAGGAGTTATTGTTGTGTTACCTACTTGATTGTGCATACAAATGCATGTTTGCTTACAGCTGAATAATCAAGCTTCATGCTTAAGAAGGTAAGCATCTGCAAATGATGGGAACAGCAGTCCTCAGGAGAAGATGAGGTGTTGGAAAGGAAATTAGTAGGACCTGGACTGAAGGACTTGCAGGTCTGTTTTGGCCAGCAACTCCCAAGCTGGTGATGGGTACTGTCACTGAACTTTCACATCTAGGTTCTGTTAGAAATTTCTTTATTACTGGCCTGGCAGCCTTTTTGGTCTCAGCATTTAGGCTAGTGGCTGATAAAGTTCTTAGAGGTAGCATCAGGTTAGCATTGAAATATCTTTGCAGGCAGTGTGGGGAAGCCTACATTGCCCTGATAAAGCATTCTTAGGTATTTCAGTACCAGCAGGGAACATTAAAAATGGTACATTAAACTGCTTGCCAGGCTCTTTGAAGCACACAGATAAAAAAAATTAATCTTCTTTATTCTGGATCTCCCACTCCCATCTGCAGCATCTACAGTAAGTACAAAATCTGTGTCAACACCAGGATCTCTGCAGCGATCCCGCAGTGACGTCGATGTGAATGCAGCAGCTAGTGCCAAGTCAAAAGTGACGTCTTCTGGATCATCCACCCCCTTCAGTTCTGCTGCAGCCTTGCCCCCAGGCTCATACGCATCACTAGGTAAATCTACGTGTTCTACTCTTGCAGTTAGCTTTCTTTGCTAGTAGAAAGTGCCTCATAGTTTTATTTGAATATTGAACTCTTAACTAGAAGAATGTATCCCTGAGATAGTTACCAGCTCTCTAGGATCAGTGTGTGATCTCTTGCCCTTTGGGAATAAGGAAAAAATTTGCAACAGAACTGACTTGAAGCAACTTCTTAGGTTTTGAATTGTATAATAGTCTGTGTCTCATCCTTCCTTCCTCCTCATTTCTTCTGGGGAAAAGCAGATCTTACTATGATTCTGAGACGTTGAGGACTGCTCAGTTCCTTTTGACATGTCCCTCTGTCTCTTTTTCTTATCTTCCTTCCCTCCTTTCCTGAAACTGGTTTTCTATTAACTGTTTTATCTTTTGAATAGTACATCTTAGTTGAGTTTGACTGCTTTCTATTTTACAAAAGAGAGATGTAAAAACAAAGAAGTCATCTGCCTTCTAATTTCATCATGCAGGGTATCTGTTTCTTATGCTGACTCTTTCTGGCCTATAGCCACATGTCGCATTATTCTCTCAGAGCATTGCATATCACTTTCAGGTGCCTCAGGGTTTCTTACAACAAAGTTTGTGTTTGATCTTTCACTCTTTGAGATGCCATTGAAGGAATCATGGAGGAGGAAATGCAAGGCGGTGATTGACACCAGACTTGCAGAGCTTCAACTTGGTTATGATCAGCTCAACAGAGCTGTTTTCATTGATTTACTTTTACAAGAGGGGAAAAATCAGAAATCGGTGATCTTGATTTAAGCTGTGTAGATTGTCTTCACTGAGTTGAGAAGTGTCTTCTCCTTAATGTAGGGCATTTGATCTTTAGTCTGATAAAATACGCTTGATGAATTACATAGGGGTGGTTTCTATAGATTCCTTTTGTGGACAGGTTTCTTTCATATCTAAAATGTTTTACCTTGGCTTAAATATGTTGGTTGCATTTGGTTCAGCAGTTGAATTCTTATTCCGACTTAAATTATTCATTCTTGGTTCAAGATTTAGATACATTGCAGTAAAAATGTAATACAGAACATGAAGTTGATCAATAATAGCATGCTTTTGAGCTTACAGATGCAACTTTTTCAGTCAGTGCTGTGTACTGGCTTCAGTGGCAAAACTGCTTTTGAACAATCTTATGTTATGAAGAAGAATGGAAAAGGGTGGGAAGTATATACTAATGTTGGCTTGGTCCTTGAAGCCGGGGACTGAATACAGCATTAGTCTTGGTCTTAAAAGAGACTGTAGGAGAAAAGCAGCATTATTTTTAACTGAAGCAAATGTGGTACTTCTGAGGAGCCTGCTTTCTCTTTGAGCTAGTAGGGAAGCTTTTCACTTGTGTGTGCCCATGAGGGAAGTGGAGAGGCAAACAACGAAAATGAAGTTTGGCAAAGACTTGATTACTGCAGGAGGGAAAACCTGGAAGCATCTTCTTCAGAAACATCAAGCTGCTCAAACTTCTTTCATTTCTTTGTGTTATATTTTTTTTTCATATTTCTGTAGCTAATACATAGTGCCCACTTCTGTTGATGTTACTAATTTTCCTTATTAACCCTTTCCTTGTTTTTTTTTTTTTTAATTTGCCTAAAGATGGTACTACCACTAAAACTGAGGGTAAGCAGTCTCTCTGTGTAACTGAGGTGTGTCCAAAGTTGTACCACCCTACCTGGTCTCTGTTCTCAAAGTGTTATCTGGTTCTCATCCATGTTCACTGGTGACCTGCATGAAGTGTTGCATGGTTGTCCTGCTCATTTTGATGCCATGGGGTATTCTTCACTTTCTCTTTGAGCTCCTCCCTGGTAACAGGCACCGGTCTGCTTTTGTGACTTGGCTTTTGATAACAAAGTTGTATGTGGGTTTTTGTATTTAAAGGACTGCTTTTGGTTGAAGGTGACCTGTGCACAGATTAAAAAAGAAAACAAAACACACAAAAAAACAACCAACCCAACCCGGGGCTTGTGTTTTCTTGCTCCGTGATGTGTAAAGGGTTGCTGTGTTTTTCCATTAAAAGCTCAGGTCACAACTGCCAAATGCTTTCGGGAAGAGACTGGGCAGTGAGAAAATTGAATGACATGATCACATGGCAGAAAAATGAGGACAGTAAACAATGATCTCTAAGGAGGGAATATTTAGTCAACCTCTTTAAACCTGAGCTCTTTTTGTTGTCAGCTGAGTGAGATGGCTTACATCTAAGACAGTTAGAGGAAAGGCTTTTTTTTTTTTTTTTCCCAAGAACGCCGAGCCTGCTAGTTTGCGTGGGCTCCCAGTCTGTTTTTCTGGCTCATTGTCAAAGCTTGTTCTTTATTTCTTATTTCTCAAGTGAAAAAGATCACTGGGAAATCAGTTTTTCTGAGGTAGACAGGAGTTGAAAACAAGACTGTCTCCTAGATAGAATGAACCCCCCCATACTTCCAAACCCATTTTTTCCTGATGCAAGTCTCTTTTCAAGGGATCTATTACTGTCTTGTGGGACTGTGCTCGTATCCTTGATGGCTGCTTGTATTTGGGTGTGGTGATCTGAGAAGGGCCACTGTGTGCTTTTGTGATATGTGTTTTTTCATTACTATTATTGAGGCGTTGATTTATTATCTAGAGGGTAAGGTCTCTACCATTTTTGGAACTGATATATAGTGTTGAGAGATGCACTGGCTTTGCATCATGGACAAGTGTTTGTGTTTTGTGATGTCAGTGATAAGGAATATGAACTTGGCCTAAACACCTGTATTTCTAAATCAGTAGTTTATTAGATGAAAGTTCCAAATTGTTGCAATACTGAGCTTTTTTTTATTCATTGCTGACCCTTCTTTATTTTCTTCCTTTCTTCCCAGTTCTCAAACCTTTCTATTTTTGACCTAACTTTGAAATGTTAATCTGTTGAAATTTAATTGACGTTTAATGTTAATTTATGAAATACCTTATGCATCTCAATCCTCTCCTAGGATAATAATATCTGTGGAGGCTTCTTAAAACAGTTGTCCTCTGGGATACATTTATTTTTAGTAAATGCTTCATTGTCATAATGCAGAAAGGTGAGAATTTTTATTTGATTTGGGGGTTTGTTTTTTTCAGTTCAGCTACATTGGAAGCAGATTAGATTTGGTAAAAATCTGTAAAATCTACTTGGACTTCATAAAGGCTTTTGACATTGTCTGTTTCTCATAAAGTCTTCATAGGCAAGCTCAGGAAGTGCAGGCTGGATGAGTAGATGGCAAGACGAGTCTTAGTAGATGGCAGCCCAGGTCTTAGGGTTATGATCAGTGGCACAGAGTCTAGTGGGAGACTGTAGCTAGTGGTGTCCCCTGAGGGTCAGTACTGGGTCCAGTATTAAAATCATAGAATAGTTTGGGTTGGACAGGACCTTAAGTTCCAAACCCCCTGCCATGGGTTTTGTTTAACTTATTCTTGGATTAAGGGATAGAGAGTACCCTCAGCAAGTTTGCTGACGCTACAAAACTGGGAGGAGCAGATGGTACCCCAGAGTGCTGCCCTGTCATTCACAAGGATCTAGACAGGCTGGAGAGATGGGCAGAGAGGAACCTGTTGAAATTCAACAGACAAGTGCAGGGTTCTGCACCTGTAGAGGAGTCACCCCTTGCATCAGTACAGGCTGAGGGCAGATCTGCTGGAAGGTAGCTCTGCAAAGAGGGACCTGGGTGTCTGGTGGACAGCAAGTTGTCCATGAGCTAGCAGTGTGCCTCCGTGGCCAAGAAGGCCAATGGGCTGCATTAGGAAGAGTGTGGCCAGCAAGTCAAGGAGTCTCTACTCAGCCTTGGTGAGGCCTCACCTGGAATACTGTGTCCAGTTCCAGGCTCCCCAGTACAATGGAGACATGGAGCTCATAAAACAAGTCAGGGAAGGGCTACTAGAATGGTTCGGGATCTGGTGCATCTCTCTTAGGAGCAAATGCTGAGGGAGCTGGGCCTGTTTGGCAAAGAGAAGGCTCAGGGGGAATCTGATCAATGTATGTAAGTATCTGAAAGGTAGGTGTCAAGAGGATGGGACCAGGCTCCTCTTGGTGGTGCCAGGTGATAGGGTAGGAGGAAACAGGCATAAACTAAAGCACAGGAAGTTCTGCCTGAACATGAGGAAGAACTTTACTGTGAGGGTGACTGAGAATTGGAATAGATTGTCCACAGAAGTTGTGGAGTCTCCTGCTCTGGAGATATTCAGGAGCCATTTGGACACAATCCGGAATAATGTGCTCAAGGAGACCCTGTTTGAACAGGGAGGTTGGACTAGATGACCTGCAGTGGTCCCTTCCAGCCTCAACTATTCTGTGAACTGAAACACAAGTCACTTGAAGGCAAAGATTGTGAGACGAACTTTCAGAAATGGAATTCTCCATCCCCTTAGTGTGAAGTACCAGATCTCATCTCTTCTTTTTCCTGTAGGATTTTCTATTTTTTGGAAGACTGAAGATCAGGGAGAGTTACAACAACATGGCACACCACAGCTAGAGCATGTGAAGGATGAGTTTAATCACTGGATGAAACTCTTCATCTTTGTTTTCCTTTGAGACAGTTGTGGGAAAAACAGCTTTTGTTCAAGATTCAGTGTGTCCTACAGATGAGAGCTGAGAAAGGTCTTCTGCCAAGTCTCTCATCTTGCAGAGTTTGTCAGTAACTACAAGGAAGGGAAAACTTCTTTCTTGATATAAATGTAAAAAATAAGAGGGCAGGGGAAGAGAAAAAACATCCCCTTGCTCTGGAAATACCTGTGTGAGCAAGAGACACTGTTGGAACATAAACCAGAAAACCAGAAATTCCATCCACATTTGTGTCCCTGTATTTTTATTTTTTTTCAGGTCACCAGTAAGTCATTTGAGAGCAAATCCCTGTGGGTTTTTGTCTGGTTCAGCCTGATGTTAAATCTGCAGTCTGGTTCCCATCATGGCTTTTTGTAGCTACAGTGTAAAAGTTCTGCACCTTCCCCTCATCCGGGAGCCAGCATTGTGTGAACTTGGCAGTTCCCATCTGCTTTGCCCTCAGTTCTCCTCAGTGTTTTGTTTTTGAGCCAGGCTTCTACAACCAGGAGCAAAGTAGAGTGGGTTATGCCAGTGGCCAGAATTCAAGAGCTGAGTATCAGTCCTTTGATTTTTAAGCAGCGTCATCCCAATTGACATAATGCTGTTGAAATGAGTTTCCTTCTGTGAATCTGTATATCTCTTAAATCTGTGTGGGTCTTCTGCTGTCTCTCTGCTGTGAGGCTGTATCTTCATATAATGCATCATTATGTCTTGATTGTCCAGATGTATGGGAATCCCTTGAACTTCATTAAGAGCTTTGCAGGTAGAAAGCTTGTAAGTTCCAAATCTTCATAGTCTAGTCAGGACTTCACAGCTAGTACTATGCAGGTAGCAGCTGTGCTATGTTTTTTATGCCTGATTAAAAGGAAACCTTAGAAAAGCTTCTGCTTGTTTTATCATGAAATGGCTTTTCAAGGAATATTTTTGAAAGGTGCATAATGCTGACTTTCATTACAGAATAATGGTCCAGAGCCTTTCTGTTATCTGGTTACCTTTTCTCAAAGTGGGTATAAAGACAAGCCTTTCCCAAGAGGGAAATGCTGGTCTGTCGTGAAACTGGCAAGTTTAAACCAAAATCAGCAGTTTTCAGAGTCAGTGGCACAATTTTTTTTGATAGTTTTTATTAGTCATCAGAAAGGAAATAAAATCTGGTTTATTATAGTTTTCAGATAACTTCAGCTCAAAAAGATGATCTGCTCAGTTGGGCATCTTGAGCACCTTACCAAAGGCTTGGGAGTAACACAGATTGTAAGAAATTCCTGTTTTCTTTTCTGCCTTAAAGCTCTCCCTTGCCCTCAAGGGGCAAGGCTGGATTCAAAGGTATGACTGAATGTTGTACCTTAAATGGAAACGCTCAAGTAGAGGGCTTCTTTGTTCTCTTGGTCCATCCTTTTGCAAGTACTGACTTGATTTGCCTGTGCATGTTGGTGTAAGGCAAGGTGGTGGCACTGTTCCCTCATCCCTCTGCTTTGGAGGGAGTTTTCATGCAAAACCCAGAAACAGCATACCCTGATGGTTTCCAGTAAGGGTTGACTGCTTCTCAGAGGAAATTATGGTGCAGAGTCAGGTGTTATGCTAGTATGATGTTGGACACATGCTAAATAAGCATAGAAACTATTCCAGTAGTGGAATAGTTTCTATTTATTCTTAAAGCATGTTTTTCATTGATGTGTGTGTGTGTGTGTCAGATGCCCATGTGTCATTTAGCAGTGACACAGCTGGGGGGGGGTCCTAGAGACTCTTAACAATGTTTTTCTCTAAGTGGGGGAAATAATCCAGTGCTGAGTAACCTAAATGCATTAACCTGGTCCATAGTGAGACCATTACTGTCCTAGTGGTTATATATATAACTTGTATGGTTATATATATCACTATTTACCACATGGAATGAGTTATACTGAGTTGTGGAGCTGTTATATACAATTTTTACACTATATGAAAACAATTTTCTTCAGTGTGATATACAGGCTGTGTCTCATAAAGCCAATGTCTGTTCTGGGCACTGGGGATGAAGACACTGCAGTACCCACCCAGGGTTGCTCAGAACAGTGCTGCCAGATGAAGCCTCTTGTAACATGGAAACATTAACATACGACTCTTCCTTCACTTTTTCCTTTTTTTCTAAAAAAGACGACCAAAACAACCTTCCTAGGCTTAGGCAGATGTTAGACATTTCAGGGTTGACTCTGATCCATTGATTGTTGTGAAAATGTAAATTAAAGTAACTTTAAAAAATAAAACCAAAACCTCCTAAACCCATCCTCCACAAATGGTTTCTTAACACGAAGCATGGAGCCTTTCAAGATATTCCATGTACCAACATTGATGTGTCACATGTTGAATTTAGATCAGTGGCTTTTTTTATGGGAATACTTTTGTGTTTTTTGGGGACAGTTGGGACGGTCTTTGTCTGTTCTTTTGCTGCTGTTGTCAGGATACAGTAATCCTTTTAAAAGCAGCAGAAAAATAATGGTTATGAAATATGAATTGTTACATGTGCAGTTTGAGCTAGATATGGAAACAAACCCACTTGAAAGCAAAGAAGTTTTGATGTTTGCTTGATTTTAACAACAACAGAAACTCTCAGTAATTTATTTGGTATGTTATTTCCAATCCTGATTGCAACTAGTTTTTCTGTCTGAGGTAAAATGGTAAAGACACACAAGTAATCCTATGTGCAAATAACTCTTGGATGTGAATGCAGTCTTGTTTGCAGGTGAAATTCTTCAGGGAATGTACTAGAGACACTTTATTATATAGATGAACTTCTATATATACATGCTGTACTTGGCATAATATATATTAAAATACTGATATTTTTCAAGCCAGACAAATCCTGATTCGTCTTGCATTATGATAAAGCAAATAGGTTTTGGATATCATAAGACTAATCTAAAAGTTGTGTATGTGAAGCTAAGTTTACGTGTAGAATCATAGAATCATAGAATAGTTAGGGTTGGAAGGGACCTTAAGATCATCTAGTTCCAACCCCCCTTATATAGGCAGGGACACCTCACCCTAAACCATGCCACCTAAGACTCTGTCCAACCTGGCCTTGAACACTGCCAGGGATGGAGCATTCACAGCTTCCTTGGGCAGCCCATTTCAGTGCCTCACCACTAGTAACACCCTAGATTGCTCTAAAGATTTTCTATATTATACAGATTTGCCTAAAGCAATTTTGAATTCCAGCTGGATATTTTTTTGTTTTACAGCTAGAAACTCCTATTTGGATGGGGAAAGCTCGGCATCTTAACTTTTTTTTTGCTTGAAGAGTAGGTTCAAGTGACTTACTTTGAATTATTTGTCTGCTGCAAGTAAGATTAATTACCTGTATGAAGAAATAAATAGCTTATAAAGTTCAGAAAATAAAACTTTGGAAAATGCATTAACAATTCATGCTTCAACGAATACATACAACTGATGGTACTTTTTTGCTTGTAACTGTGTTAAAACTTTGACCTTGAATTTGTACTTTATCCCATAGACTAAAAAATAAAGTACTCTTGGGGTGAGCTGTTCCTGTGCAATTGTAGGATTTGTTCAATTATGTCATTCTTGCATCATGAATTTCTGGTTTCTGCTGTTACTGTTACTTGTATGATGCATGTCCAGTGCAGCGTGAGTTCAAACCCTTGTCAGCCTTTTTCAAAGGATGAGAAAACCAGTATCAGTGTTGGGACTCTGTTTGTCCTGTGCAAGAGCAACTTTTTGTCTTGTACTGTTCTCTCTTAACACCTATTAGGCCCAAATCAGTGTGTAAATCTACCTGTCCAAAAGAAAGCAGAATTTTGTTCCTGGGTATTCATTTATTCGGAAGCTGCTGAAGTTGGTAGGGGTCTGTCCGCTAACTCTCAGGGGTTTTGAAATAAGGCTGAGCTCTCTGTTTCTAATCCTGCTGATATTCACATGTTAATTAAGTTTGACCATTTAGTTCAGTGTTCTTTCTTAAAGTCCCCTGATTTGATATTAGAAGTTAATCTTGGCTTCTGTTTATATTTCTTTGGGCTTTGTATTTTCTAGGGTGAAAGAGTCACTTACTGCATATTGTTCCTTTTGTAGATGCAGAAAAACGAGAAAGTTTTGATGATCTTGTGGCCTGTGCAGAGGAGGAGGAGACATTATGAGTCCCTTCTCACCCATTCTTGGCCCGTACTCATGTCTTCTAATATTGTCAGTTACTGTGTGTAATGTTAAATTTCAGCTTGATTTACCCCTGGGACTTTCTGCAATGCCAAGGCCTCCTGTTGACATTCTGGAGGGATGTAAGTTAATTCCATTACTGGTTCCTAAGACTCGTCAGGTTTAACTTCCTAACTTACTGTTTTGTACTCCTGCCACCAGAGATACCCTCTTGGTGTGGGAAACAAAAGGAAGCCTCGAGGCTTCTGACAAGAGCGTGAGGTCCTTCTGCCTCCTTCCCTATGTATGCCTGCTTTGAACCCTATGGTAGGGCTTGCGGTATAAGACTTGCGGCAAGACGCCCAGTGCCTCCAGTCGTCTGTGTATAGCTGTACATGTGCCAAACCTGAGAGGGAAGGGAATGAGCCAGCAGAGAGCCCTAGAGTTATGTCTGGTTATCTGTCAGGCAGACTGTAAGAGGCAAGTAATGTCACAGAGCAGAGGAGATCTACAGCGTTACTGGTGGTAAGACCATCTTAGCAGCCAGTTTCATGACTGTTATTCCTGTGTGGACATGCTCAGAGCTTGTTTAGTTGAGCCAGCCATTAAAAAATGGTTTGTCTGTGCTTTCCCAGTTTTACATTAATGATTTCTGCCATACCTTGTTTCCAAACATTGTTTGAATGTAGATATCTGCATCTTACATACTGAGTTACTTTAAAATCAGATGCTGATAGAGAGGTTTGAAGTCTGCTAGGCTTTTTTCCCTGCAAACAAGTTTAAGCTTTCTTCTCAAAGTTAAACATCTCTTTGTCACTTTGTGTCTTATCAAAAACTTGCAGACCATGTTATGAATATTTTGAGAGCTCGGAGAATAACAGAGCTCTTAATCTGTTCAGCCTGGGCTGCTTGCCATTGTCTTGTCCTGCATGTGTACCTTATGTGACATAATTATTTTTTGGGGGGTTGGGGGGAGTACATATCTTCGTATTTCTCTGTATGCTTATGGTAGAGACAGAGGGCAGGAGATGAATATCTGTAACCAGTGGGCGCAGTTGTCTAGACTCTTCTCTTACCTGTTGTGGTTTTTTTCCTTTTATTATTGTGCCTGAAACTTGAAGTCATTCTCTGAATGCAGGATAGCACTGGCATGAGTCCTGAGAAACAGCTTCAGATTTGGCTGAGAACTAAGTTGTTGAAAAGTACTGGAGGCTTTCTTTGTGTTGCTCTTAATTATCATTTCTTTCCCATTAACTAGAGACAGATAATAGAAGCTTAGCACTGGAAAGAACATTTTGTAGGAAACAGCCCTGCCCCAGGAAGGGGATGAACTGATGGCCCTGTAAGCTTTTCTAGCTCAAATTTCTGTGGCTTTTTTTATGAGGAAAGGACAGAAAAAGGACCAAGAACACTTTGAGGCTTTATATCCGTTCTCTGCTTAAATAAAGAGGAGACACACAGAATCATTTTTCCACAATGTTGATTGTGTTAAATGGGACTCTCTGTTACACGTAAAGTTACACTGATCTCTGGATAAATACGAGGGATCTGTAAACAGCAGGGAGAATTCAGTGAGCCTGAAATAAAAGCGTAGTCAGGCTGCACTGACAGACTCTCACGGGAGCACATGTCAGCCTGTGCATGTAGAGCAGGATATAGAGCATCAAACTGCTAATTGGAAATGCCAGCAATGGAATTTGTGGGGGCATCTGTCACACCTCTCTCTGCAAGAGTGATCACCTTGCAAGAAAGTAATAATTTGATATAGGAAGCAGCATTTAGGAGGCTGAAATTTTTGTTGCTGATCCTTTGTAAAGAAGCTACTATAGAACAGATGCAAAGGGTATAGAGAGGTAATGTTTTTTAATTAAACTGGCTGATAGCATTACAGAAAGCAAAGAAGTCTTTGGAGTCATGGACCATAACTCTTTCCACGCCCTCCCTTGTGTCTCAGCCAGTCTAATAAAAGATGTCGCCTCTCCCTGTAAAATTCTTTTGTACTCTTGTTAATTGTGTGTGTAGCAACCCTGCAAGCATAGGGCAACACATTAGACACAGCTGCTGCCTTTGGATGAAACCTATTAACACTTTGTCTTTGCATTCCTCCAGGTCGGATTCGTACAAGGAGACAGAGCTCTGGCAGTGCCACAAGCGTCACCTCAATGCCTGCTGATACCCGAGGCCGCAGCCGGGCTAAAGTAGTTTCCCAGTCCCAGCGTAAGGAGTGTTTTATTTCTGGGGGAGCAGAACAAATAATTATTAATATATTTATATTGAATTATAGTAGCATCAGCTGTTGATGGGGCTCAGTTCTGCTAATGACATTTGAACATGTGACAAAATGAATCCCTACTCAGTTTGTGCTCTTGCTGACAAATAGGGCCCCAAATAGTGCTTAGTTGCTGCCTTTTTTTTTTTTTCCCATGTGTTTTACCACCAGAATTTCATGTTGCTGTGATGCGTAGGATTAAACTTGCGCTGGGTCCCACTGAGACACCCTCTGTGTCTGACTGCTGTCCTGGGTTCTTGCCCTGCCGAGCTTCTCCTGCTTATGTGACTGTATTGCTGTATGTGTAACATGTGAGCTGTCTAAAGTTAATGGGATTTGGCATCAATTTGAAATAGGACATCACCTATTTTGAGTAGATACAGGAGAGGTCGTTCTGCTCTCTGATGCACATGACATCTGTGCTCTCTGGCTTCCTGGCAGAGGCTTGGTTTTCCCTTAGGAGCCATACATAGGGTGCTGCTGCCTATTTGTCATGTGTATCTAAGAAGAAATTTGTCACTTAAGATTTAAAAGGAATTGGGGAGAGGCAGAAAGCCACTCATGTTTTGAGGACCTTCAAGCTTGTGGGTAAGAGGAGATGAGGTTTGTAGAAAGACCTATTTGTTCTGAGGACTTGTCTTGCTTTGTACCCTTATTTAAAAGCCCTTTTCTGTTCATTCTCTCATTGCTTTGCTCTGTCATGCTGGAGGGATGGAAAAGCAGTTTATAGCCTTGTGTTAGGCTGGGAGAGCTGAAGAAGGAAGTAGTGTATTCAGGATGGGGCCAAATGGAAATCTTTACATTGAAGTCATAAAGGAATTATGGCTTTGGTATACTCATCTGAATCGATTTCTTCGGTTTGGAACCTAAAACTGATCTAAAGCCAGAAATGACCTTTTTTCCTGAAATTAGCTTGGTGAAAAGTGATCAAACCAAATGAGACAAGTCTCAGAACTATTTAAAGAATAGTTGAGTATCCAAAGGTTTCAAAGACTATGGGCTTAATTGCTCTTACAGAATGACTTATGAAGATTTGGGATGGTCATATCTGAACCAGCTGCCTTAGTCTTGCTTGCTGAATCCTCTTTCCAGCCTAGCCGAATGAGATGTGATCTCTATCCTTAAGCCAGACATTGCTTGAAATAATTTATGAATTCAAATATGCTACGGACACAGGACCAAATTCTCCTTGCCCACACAGTGGATAACCCTGTTGCAATTCTGCAGACTGGGCAGGTGTGTAAATTAGAGCAGAACTTGGGTCTGGGTGTGTTGGTTAACATTTAGCTAGAAAAGTTGATCAACCTTGGGAAATTCTTAGTTGCATCTGCACATTAACTCACTGAATTCTGCAGAGGCTTTAGGAGTGACATGTTTGTAAATAAATCTGTCTGTATTGTGTGTAGCATAAATGGCATGCTGAACACTGTATTGTCTTGCTGTCTTTTAATCCACTTTTTGCCTGTCCTTTGGTCTGCCCTCATAATCAAGGATCCAGATCAGCTAATCCTGCTGGTGGTAAGAAACATTTTCCCTTTCTTGCTTTCTCACTTTATTTCCTTCACATTTTTTAACTGCTAAGCTTTTAGCTTGTTTCCCTCACTCTCTCCTAACAATGAGACTTAAAAAGCACTTTCTTAAAGTTATAAATCCAAATGCGTATGGCAAGTGATTTTTGCTTTCTTTTAGTAATCAAACATGGCAAGCATACATTTAGCATATTGAAGCTGGCTCACTGCTGCAGCTGAAACCCTAGGTACTATGTTTTCTTCCAGATACTTCAGTGCAACCCTGCTGACCTTCTGGTACAAACCTGTTGAGTGAGATTGCTCAGCGTAACTGAGAAGAGTTTTGGCTTTAGGTTGTGGATGCTTTGTGTGAGACTGGCATCTGTCACAAATATTCTCACTCTAGGGGAGGGATATGGGAGCAAAGCCAGCACCACATACAGTACTGAAATGTTATTTGATTGACCTAGAATGGCTTTGGCCAAGAAATTGGAAGGGGCAAGTAAGTAAAAATAATGCATATGTTATGGTGTTGTCCATGAGATCAGTAGAATTGCATATCTTCTTAAATTAAGACAGAAGAACAATATTTAACTCTTGCTGGGTGTAATAGTATCTGGAACTGAAATTTTTTTAACATGTGTAGATACTTTTTATGAAAAACCCAACATGAATATTGGGTCAGAATGTAAATGTTCAAATGTTTTTGCCCAAAAGTGTTCTTGCAACCTTTTCAAATACACTTCTTCTGGCTGTTTTAGCAAGCAAATTGAATATCAGGAATAATAGTATCAGCAGCAAATTTTCTGTAATGTGTATATACATCAAGAAGAAAAGAGATTCTTGAATCTGTTACCTGCAGTTCTTTATGACTAACTTTAAGCTGCCATTACTTCCTTTTTTAACAACTTGTCAAATGAAAATCCACAGGTAAAAAAAAAAAAAAAGAGTATTCTTCAGCTCATTGAGTTAGACAGCAAGACTGTTTCAGATAGAAATACTTACTGCATCTGGAATGTAAAAACATAAATAAAAATCTTAGTCAGTAGATTGTCTTGCAGACAGTGTGGCTTAGAAGAAATGTGAACTTGCTGTGGACTGGTCAAACAGACAAGGAAAAATAAAACAGACCAACTACTCATACTCAACTTGCTAAACATTTTCTCCAGCTGAAAAATAACTAAATAGCTTAGGTTTGACCAGTCAGACCTGAGTAAGCCAGCATCTCCACAAATGTGATGTGCTCATGTGGTTTACCCCTTATTGTGCTGTTCTGCTTCTGTTGTAAGAAAGTAATGCCACCACTGCAGTGTAGCATAAAGGTGCCTGAGCTACACTGCAACAAATTATTACCTGTGCTAGAAGCCAGCATGCTGCAGTACAGCTCTCCGCATGGGCTAATTTGTGTTGCTTCCCAAGGAGGTGAAGCAGACTGTGAATTCCATGTTGCAAGGCTGTTTCTGGCAGCTCCGCAAGCTTGCCCAAAGTCAGCTGGGGTATTCATACATTGCAGTGTCTGCTTTGGTCTTGAACCCACATGGGCATCATGGTTCATATAGGCAGGGTTGCTGATGCTAGTGTTTATTGTCCATGAGCTTTCCTCAGTCTTCTTTGAAAGCCCATGGGGAGCACTCACATTAGTTTTCTGAGTGATTTGGATCAAATTCTTAGAGCCGATTGTGTTCCAATTTTGCTGTCATGATATTTAATCTTGAGGGAGTTTTTTATGGTTTTTGTTTGGTTGTTGTTTTTTAACTTATTTGTGGTTCTCTTCTAGCTGGTAGCCGGTCCAGTTCCCCGGGTAAGCTCTTAGGAAGCGCCTATGGTGGCCTGAGTGGTGGAACATCCAGAGTCCAGCCGGTGCCATCATCTTCAGAGAAGCGCAGCAAGATCCCTCGGAGCCAGGGATGCAGTCGAGAGACGAGTCCCAGCAGAATAGGACTAGGTAAGAATAGCCACTGCAGTGGCGTACTGGCAGGCGTTCTTGAAGGAGGAACTTTCCTCTTGACTAGGAAACTGTTTATGTGTTACTGTTATTCTTCTGAGTTTTTCAGCTGGCAAGTTAATGTCATTGTGGTTTGTAGGAGAGTAATTTTAATTTTCCAGGTTGAGCTGTAGTTTCAAAGTAAGCCTAAAGATGTCATAAGATGTCTTCTGTTTGAAGTTCAACATGAGCGATGTTATTAGATCAGGCAGTAAAAACAGTTGTCACGAATAACCATTGCAGCAAAAATACCTCATTTGACATCAACAGCTTAGTCTTAAAATGAATTAAGCAGTCTTTACAGTCAGTTGGAATGAAGGGCAAAAAGCACCTTCTTGGATTATTTTAGAAATTTTGCAGCTTAAATCCCTTGCTTCTGTCATCCTTAATATTTGGAGCCACTGTTAGATGGCATTTTAGACTTATGCTTTAATTGCTCTGCTCCCAATATTCTTGTTTCAGTGACTGTTATGTAAATATTCTATAATAGTTTTTATTTTCAAATTTATCAGCAGACTCTTTTTAAGTCAGGTGAGTAAGTAAGCATCATTATATATAAACTTTTGTGTATCTGAATGAGGTGAAAAGGTGTTCAGTGTGCTGTCTGAAGAATAAGTAAATACTGGTTTCATTTTTAAATGGAGTTTGAAGCTTATGTAGAAAAACAACACTTTAATACTGTTACTAAATTATTTTGTAACTCCAAAGAATTCACTAGTAGGTTGAAATTGATTGAAATTATAGCCCTACTGTTGGGGGCTATAAATTTTTAACTATTAAATTTTTAACTATTGCCTTGGAAGTTCTATTTTACATTTAAGATACCTTTCTATTTAGAATATGTTTTCAGTAGAGAAGTATCTTATTAATACTCTGAGTACATTGAAATGAATTTAAAGCACCTGAGTGCGTATGTGGTTATGATTCATTGAAATAGTTGCATGTTCATTGTGATTTATTTTTTCCAAATTCAGTGTTCTTCTCATTTCTGATCTATTTTATTGGCCTCTGTATTAACACATCGTGCTTTTCTGTTCATTGCCTTTAAAATGTAAAGTGCCTCCCAAATATTAGAGGTAATTGTCCTGCTATCACACTGTAGAAGAGCATTGATTTTTTTAGGGGGAAACAAAAAATGATGCATAGTACCATCACACATGCTTAAACTGATCATCACATTATGTAGTCTGATTTGGATCAGTCTTGAGCATATAAAGGGAAATTGCTGTGTGTAAAATCCTCACTCTTGGGTTGCCTGCTTTCAGGTATATTATGGGAGCCTTGTATTCTTTTGAAAGTGTGATTTGTATCTCACTGCTCTGCTGTGCTCCCTGTGAACAGTCAGTGCCTTGTTCTTTGGGAGCAAGAGAGAACTTTGAGAGATCAATCAGCTGTGTGTCTTCATGCACCCCCCTCCCTGGGGTTGATGGCCACAGCATGTTCTTTTGGGCAGTTACGGGAACAGGAGAGTCTGACACTTGTGTTGCCTTTACTACTCAGTTGCAGAAATTCTGCCTCTTTTGGATCTTGAAAATGGTAATATTGGCTTGGATGGAGGATAGCTTTTGAGCTGTCGTCTTTATACCATTATTCATTTGTATTTATAGTATAGTAGCTAACAGTATTTTATGCTTCCTTATTGTGTTGCTTCAGTCCCTATCTTTCCTTGGCATATTTTTCATTTTTCCATTTGTTCATTTCATTAAAGAGACTCCCACTCACCTTGGTCTTAAATATACGATAGACTTTTTCAGAGTCTGATGTGCTTGAGTGCAGCCAGTGTTGAACCATTGCACAGATCAGGCAGTTAGAAGTGGGTAATTCCTGGATCCTGCTCATTACTCATCCATTGATACGTAGTTTTTGTAGGGGTGACTGGGAATTGCAGCTTGACCAATGCTGTGTGTGAAGATTAAGCACACAGAATGTGGGTCCCTGTGTGCAGTTGGGCTTTATACCCGAACCATCTACTGCAGTTTTTCAGGCCCTTCTGAGGCAGTAACAACCTAATAGAGCCTCTGCATGTGGATGCTCTTTAGATTTCCATGATGACCACAGATATCCATGAAATGTGTTCCTTCTGTATTCTGGAAACCTTGAAGTAGTACATTGTTTTCCAAGAGGCAGCACAGTGAGGCGCGTTTAGTATGCTGAGGTCCTGCGTGGTCACCTATAGGGCCCTGTTCTGTGGTGCTTTAAGCTTGCCTTTGCTGTCTGCTCAGTGGAGATTTACTGGCAGCAATAATCTCTTGGGGAAGGAAGAATATAGTCCACTTAATCTTGAGCTTTTTTACTTTGGACCCCTTAAAGGGTACCACCTCAAAAAAGGTAATAAAAGGTAATATCCAATTCCCATGGATTGAAAGTTTATCTGCCTGAAGGTTTGTTTGTTTGTTTTTTTTTTTTGATGCTCAGCAGATTATGTGGCACAGTTGAATCTGAAAGGAGTGAGAGATTTGAAATTGTCATTCTCCAGAGAGTGAAGCAGGCACAGTTGGCTCTCAATCTCATGCAGTAGCACTCCTCCTGTTGTGGTTATGCTGTGTGTGTTTATTGGAAAGCTGAAGGCAGTTCTTGACTTACTTCTACTGGGTGTACCCCACTTGCAGAGCTTTCCTTTGGTTGTTTTAGCAGCTTTTACAGGGTCTTTAAAATGCTTGCATTGATGTAAAGGAAGTGTCTGCTGATTTTTTTAGTCTTAAGAATCACTAAAAATCACACCCTAATGAAATACAGGTTTCTTCCAAGGGGTAGATTGGTAAACAGGGGCACTATTGAGTTCTGCTGCTGGGATTTCCATCTGTTGGGTTCCACTGGTGTAAGGCAGCCTAATAGTGTGTTTTAGTAATGGTGTGAACAGTATCCAATTACTTTTGATGTTCTGGATGAAATTGGTAAAACTTAGATGTACAGGACACATCTAGAAAGCTGGGATTTTATTGAAAACAAGTCACTCATGTCCTTTTCTAGGCTCTCGGTCCAGAGCTGGCTGTGGGCACACTGCTTTCATCCTGCCTACTCCTTTTAACCAATTTTGCTATTCATTTACTTGATTTCTGTCCAACTTCTGGGAGCTGGGAATTCGGAAATTGAGACTCATGTCTGTCTTTTCCACCTTTGCTGCATGTACTGCAGGCACAGGCTGGGACAGTATGAGATGCTTGTCTAAATGACAATGCTGCTGGCCCTTACTGGTGGCAGTATCTAAAGGAAATACTCTGAGTGGCTGATACCCCAGCTTCCTAACATAACATAACACTAAAAGTGATGCAGGTGCCTGGGAGTCTACAATAGATTTATCATTCAGTACTTTTCAATCCATTCTTTTTTACTTGCTTCTGTGTTTGTAACATGTAAATCTTTAGTTTGACCATTATTCATGAAGTATCTGGTGTTTGGGTTTAGGCGCTCTGCTTGTGCAGTCAGTATTGTGCTTCATCTGTGGTATGCTCTCATGCAGTTAAAGTGCATTTTCTTCACTCTTCATGCTGCTGCTGTTAGCTGTTACGGAGGGAGAATGTGCTATGTGCATTCATTAATTTTATTTTTGTTTTAACCATTTGCATCTCTCCCTGTCTAAAGAGCCATTGCTGGTTTTAGTAGGGTTGTATTATAGACAAGACTGACAGATCTTCTTTACTTAAGAGAAATGACTGCTTGTGTAAACCTGATGTGAAGGCTGCCATTATTTACATACAAGCATGAGACCCAAGAATGAGAAGTTTGCTTCTAGAGAGTCCTCAATTTCAAGCAAGTATGTGTGTGGAAGACTTGAGAGTGTTGCTTTCACCTGCAGTTCATCTGTCAGCTTTTTTGCTTGTACTTCCAAGGTGGGATTATTGTACTCATGGACCACAGTTTCATCCAGTTCGTATAAGTGTCGGTCTTATTTATTATAAGACCATCTAACTCGAAAGTTTTAGACATCACAGCGATCTAATCAACTTAGTCAATAGCTCATCTTGTATTGTCTGTCATCAAAGGTCAACCATCAGAACCATTAATTCATCTGAGATATGAGCTGGGTTTGCAAAACTGGGAGGGATTTGACAAACCAAGAATCTGGCAGTAGTCTGTATTTAAATTTTAAAGCCTAAATATGAAAGTTTCTATTTTGTTCTGTACTGTTTTACTTGAAAGGGTAATAATAGAGCCGGTATATATTATCCCATGGAAGAACTGTAGTGGAACTTCATTAGCTTGAGTCTAGGCATCTAGCTTCTGTGTACAAACCAACAGATTTGGATCCTGCTTCCCAGGAAGGTGGTAGAATCACTGTCACTGGGGTGTTCAAAAACTGTGATGCCCTCAGTGACATGGTTTAGTGGTAGCCTTGGCAGTCCTGGGGTAATGGTTGGGCTTGATGATCTTAAAGGTCTTTTCCAACCTAGTTGATTCTATGATTCTGTAAGAATATGTATATTCTGAAGCATGCAAATGACACTTTTTTTTTATAAATACAAGGGTGCTATTAAAGTATTAGCAGGCTTGTTTATATGTGCCTCTGCTACATTGTCATCAAAAGTGGTAGATTACATTTTACTCTCTGAATGAGAAAATTCCTTAAAGGCTTTTTCTGAACAGTTTAAATATGCTACTGCCTTTTCAAAACAGCGAAGGAAATCCCGCTTTAGTCATTAAATTCTTCAAGGTAAACTCATGACAATTAAGTGCTATTCTTTTACCTAAGAAAACATAGTATTCTTGACCAGACATGAAGCTTATTAAATAACTTTTTGCAAACATCTTTCATACGAGAAAGACACAGAACTTGCAGAGGAATAATCCAGATCTAAGTATCTAAAATGGTCATGTAAGAAAATAGTAAAATTCAAATCCTTGATGTTAAGCAACCTTCTGACAGCCTAGCTCTGCTTTTCCTATTTGCTAGAAAGTAAAACTTCAGATAGAGTAAGTGTGATTACTTTTTATTATGAAAGCAGTTTAATCTTTTACCACTTTGTTTTTTGGCCAAAGAGTGTGCACGTGATGAGTTCCCGTGACACGGCTGGTAGGCAGGAGCCGTATTAGGCTGTAGGAAATTGAACACTTGACAGCTGCTAGACCAAAGAGTCTTGTTGATGTATGTTTTTGTCAGAGTAAAGAATATAATTTAGAGCCACCCTTAAGTGCACACATCTCCATCTGTGTGCATATAAAACCATAAATACAAGGTTTTAGAAATGTTTGAGGAGTAGAAGTTAGTTTTTGTAAAAGATCTGAAGCTGCTGCTGTCTTAAAATTCAAACACCTTTTAACCTGTCTTTCAGGTAGTCAGGTTCTAAATGTTTTTTCCCAGTATCTTTCATTGGAGAAAAATATCTTTGCAAGTCTGTGCAATACACCTTCTTTCTTTAGGATATTTATTCATGGCAAAACTTCCCTTATGAAAGGCAAATCTATGTAAAAATAGCATATTAGTCTTGAAAGACTGCTTTTGAAAGTTTTGACTTGCTGTTTTGTTCCAGAGTCTGTTTATCTTATAATTACAGAAAAAATACTCCAGAAGGGTTTCTTTTAGCCTCACCTGTTTTGCATGTTTTGTAAAAGTAGAGCTCCCCGTAGTGATTCAGAATTCCTGCTCTACTTGAATAACAGAACTTGGATTGCTTAAGAAAAAAGCAGACTGTCAACCAGACATTTAATGCTGCTGCAATTTCACATCACAAACACAGCTCAGCATGTTAAGGTAGTTGGTTTGTAAAGAGCCTGAGTGGGCTGCTGCAAATTATAATTACTAATGTGATAATTACCGTAACTAACAGAAATGTAACTTGACTTTGAGCTTTCTGTCCTCATTAAACTTGTTCACCTTCTCTGAAACTCTCCATGCTGCATGCTAGCACGGAGCAGTCGTATCCCCCGACCCAGCATGAGTCAGGGGTGCAGTCGTGATACCAGCCGTGAGAGCAGTCGAGATACAAGCCCTGCTCGGGGCTTTCCTCCACTTGGTGAGTACATGTAGGCATTGGAGCTTTAAGGGTCAATATTTATTTCCTTTTTCTCTTGTTGTGATTACCCCTTCAAGACACTGCCAGGTGGAATGAGCTTGTTCCCTGTCCTCTGTTGGATTTCTGACACAGTCGCTGTTTCCAACCCTGCTTCCCTTCTGTTTTCTTCTGCATGCTTCAATTCTGGTTCTTGGCTTTTCACTGTTAGCAGGAAAATAGTTTAGTTTGAACTTCTGTAAGTTTTAGTTTTATTAAAACAGGTCATGTGGGGCTGCTGTGCTTAACTTGACAACACTGATGGAAATCTACAGGAGAGCCAGCCTCTGTTTTCTAGGTCACAGTGAAGCAGTCTATAGTGTTGTAGCCTGTTGTTGGGTGACTGATTATTCATGATCTGATTTTCTCACAGCTGGTACAGTAACAGTATATCATTTCTGTACTAAATCCTCCAATAGAGATAGCTCTTTTTTTTTTTGTAGTTGTTTCTCACAGTGTTGTCAATCATCAGTTAAAAAGTTGCACGCACCATTTTGTAGGAAACTTTTTCAAGCAGCCTAAAATCCTGGAAAGGCTGAGGTTTTAAAGGAGAATAATTGATATGCAGTTTAAGTGTACAGTACAAATAGAAAATCTCATTATGCTTACCACATGCAGAAGTTTTTCTGCACAGTGCTGAAAGCAGCAGGATAGTTAATGTTTCTGATCAAATACCATATCATATATTCAACCAAATACATTACTTGTTGTATGAACAAGTCATCATGTCATCTCAGACATGAAATATAGTTGATCTCCAGGCACTCCTCATTTATGTAGTAATTTCACAGCTGTGCATGTGGTATTAAAAATGTGAAAGAAGCTCTTACAGATTTCATTAAGGCTGAAGAGTGGTATTACACGATCTGTTTTACACATAGTAACAAAATACAGGTATTGTGTAAATGGAGCATAGAATTTTTGGGCTTAATTCTGCAACTTTATCCAATTAGGGAAAAAAAATTATGAAAAATATAGACAGATGGGCAAATTTTTTCTGTTTGCTTCTTATATTTAATATATTGTACTTTAAATAATCCTTTAAACTTATGTAGATGTTATCATTTTTGATTTGGCTATCAAATGCAGAGGCTGGTTGCCTTCATCCATATGAAATCATTGGTAAAAATCCTGTTGGTGTAAATGGTGTAGAGTGGATTCTTCAGGTTAATATTAAGAGGCTTTTGGTTTCAAAACTTCATTCTTTTGAGCTATTAAATAATCTGTATTATTTGTCATATCTCAATTTTGGGTGGAAAATGGGAGGAGTTCATCTTGAAATAGATGAACTTTTTTAATTGATTAAATGAAGCTGATTTGATACCAGAACCATAAATGGATAGTAGATGCACAATGGCATCTCGTTTTTATAGTTCACTTCCTAGCTTCAAGATTGGATGAAGCTTTTTTCTCCAGCCAACGTGTATAATCAGGGTTAATTCATCAGTGTTCTATGTCATTGTGCTGTTTTGTTTATTTTATTGAAAATACATTCCTTGAAATACTATCTTGAGCCCTTGTTCTGAAAAATATCAGAATCACAGTTAGTGAATTTTGAATGCCACCATCTTTACTGAGTCTGACTCATACACTGACTGTATGATTTCAGTTACAGATGTCTGTTACACTGTTTCTAACAAACATTATTTTGGCTCACTATATTTAATTGTCTGAAGATTAATACATTTCTAGAAATACATTGTTATTAAGTCATTAAGGTAACAGGGGGAAGTAGTATCAATGCAATAGTAACCCAATATGGTTGTTATCATATTGTCTTTTTTTTCATTGAAATGCTTTAAGCTCATGTTCATGAACTTGTTAATTATGTAGTATGTACTTCATCTGAAGGAAATTTATATTGTTAATTTAAGCCAAAACTGTATTACTCTATTATAGTATTTCTAGAACTCAGTTAATCTTACATTAATTCTAAGATAATATAATCCTACTATGCATGGTCTATTTTTGTGCATAAAGTTTAACTTCTATATTAGGGAATTATACCTAAGCTAACTATGTGTAAACAACAGGATTCTTGCACTTAACAGTATCATGGTCAGTGTCAACACTGATATCCTGACCTTGCTTTATTCTGGGGCTGCTGTGCAGGTATGCATGTCTGTGCACCAAGTTTCTGGCTTCATCAGTTAGGAAACACCAGTGAAAAGTCACTCTACACATGGCCTCCTTGCAGAGATGTGATTTTTTTTTTTTTTCTTGTTTTGTTTTTGTTGTTCCTGTTTCTTCATGGGCCTTGATCTTGCAGTGACGTCCACAGGGGCACAGCGGATGGCTTGAGAGAAAACAATTGCGAGCTCAGAATCTTAATTGTGAGGTTCAGTCCATGATCCTGCACTGATCCTGCAAATCTTTCATGAGTTATTTATGGTGTCGGTGAATTGTTCTCTTGAATAAATGCATGTGTTCTCCATGGTTAAAGACCACATTGCATATTCTGTACAGCTTCTAGTCAAGCTCTCACAACTGGGAAAAAAATGAAATTGTATTTTTCTCACTTTGCTGATTCCTGTTTTATAATGTTAGCATCTGTGTTTATGAATGCTTTGCCTTGAACAGAAGACTTATTTCTTTTTTTCTGCTGCACACGTATATGCATCATTGACAAAGCCTGTTTGTATTAGAAGATGATTCTGCTTTATTTTTTTCAGTTTCTTGACAATACTAGGTGTTAAAGTAGTAAGGCCCTGAGGGGTGATGAATTGCTCAAATGGGCAATCAGTTGCTTGGGTCAGTTGCTTTGAGCTAGGTGAGCATGTCATTGCTAGACACAGGGAAAGCCTCTTTAGAAAAACTAGATTTCTGTAATTTGGAAATGACTGAACCAGTTTTCCATTTGCTTTCATGAAAGACTCGCCTTTTTGCTGATTCCATGAACTGAAAACCTCTCCAAAGGCAATTTGTGATTTATGTGCTGCTGACAACTGGGAATTGAAGTGGGAACTGTGTTTGGCTTCAGCTCTTCTGCTACTGTATGTGTTCTGTTGCTGTTAACAATTTGTATACATGTGGTGTAATTCTAGATAGGTGTACAGTCTTGCAGTTCAGATTATCTGTGCATGTACATACTTAGATTCAAGAAACATGTATGCAAAGTTTGTTAAAAGCAAGAGACTTTTGGTAGTAGCAACAGCTATGATACGTGTGTAAATGTGTTTACTTGGAAAGGAAACCCAACCCAAGGACCTATAGGCAGTGGTTGGCTGACCTCCCTGTATGACTCTTTCTACTTATGTGGTTATTCATTCTCTTTGTTAACGTTGCTTTTTTATGCATAGGCTAGAATGTTGTGGAAAAATATCTGCAAGCACAATTCTTATGCATTCATCATGGCTTCACTTCAGGGTTTAGATTAAGACACATCTAAATCCTGCTCTGTAATTATGTGCTCCATGTTCTCACGATGGCCGTCTTCCAGATCTGTGGTTCTGGAATGTGACTGATGTGCACTGGGTTTTTTTTGCTGAACTGCACTGGGTTTGGGACTGTTACAGATGAGTTTTGTCATGCATTGTGTTTACAGTCATGGGGGATAAGGGAGAAGCTACAGATGGAGGTGTTGCTGTGGGGCTTGCACCGTATCTGTTATGCATTCATATACAGCATCATTTCCCTGTCACTATGAAATACCTTTACCGGTAGCAGTCTCGCATCCCCTTCGGATTGTGGCATTTTCTGTCTCGGGTTAAATGTGTGTTAATCCTGTGGGTGTTGCCATTCCTTCTACTTGCAGCTTCTCGACGTCATTCCAGGTCCACTAGTGCTCTCTCCACTGCTGATTCTGTTGGGCAGTCAGGTGAACAAGCGCTAACTGCATGAATCCGCTTCTTATACGTAGTCTTGTTTTACACCATCTTAACATTTGCCATCACGTGCATCAGCTAGCACTTGGCATGTGCTTCTCATCGCTGTGGGGCTTTTTGTTCCGTTTTTGTTCAACGTGGCTTTTTGGTTTGAATTTCAGTTATTGGATGTTCTTAATTTTATGTACTTGAGGAACATTGTGAACAGTGTTTAAACAAAGGGTGATCCAGGGCTTTCTCAATTTTCCCGTAAATTGGATCAGTTGTGCAGCATGGGGTAAATCCTGACTGATGCAGAGAACTTCCAATTTCTATTTCCCCTTTAGCAGTGGTGCAGTTCCCAATGCCTAGAACCGAATTGCAGTGGGTTTCATCCCATTTATTACTAAATATTCTGGACTCCTGTCTCTGTTAATGAAAGTATTTGTGGGATCCTCTCACACAAGAACAACAAGAATTAAGCACCTCATGAGCTTTCAAAATGAACTTTGGAGCATACACAAGTTGATCCATCCTTCATATAAATCTGAAGGCCCTGTCCAAAGCATACCGAAGTTGTTGAAAAAATTATTCCTGTAATTTCACTGGGCTTTGGCATCAGGAGACTAATGCTTACATATAATGAGAAAAATCTGCAGATTCCAGTTGCTTTTTCCCCCTTCCTGTGCTGGAGTCACAGTTATGGAGAACCTGTAACTCCCTTTTGAATCAGGATATTTCACTGGAAGTCTTAGAAATGAATGAGGGCTGCTAGCTTTGGGACAATAAGACTTAATTGTGGGGAGAAAGATGATGTAGAAGATGAGGGCTTCAGTGTTTTCTTGGAGGCTGAAATTGTATAAAGATTTAGTGATACTGAAAGTTATTAATACCCTTCAGGTACAGAGTGAAAAATACTGTTTCTCATAAGTTTGGTTAAATGACTGTCACTTAACTAGAACTCTCAAAACATTTCCCGCATCAAGTTGCTCAGCAGAAATGATGCGAGCTGATTTGACTGGCATTTTTCAAAGTAACAAGCCAAATTTGTATTTAACAAAAATAACTGAAAACTTTTCAAATACCTCAAACTGTAATACAGGTTTAAGCTTTGTTTGCATTCAACTTCCTGTGATAATCATTTAATGCTTGACTCCTGTGCTTTGGTGCAAAGCATAGTCAAATTCTATATGCTTGCCTGTGTCAAAATCTCCCTAGAAATGGCAAAATCGGGCCAAAAATGGTGATTGCAAATTTTCATCAAGTTTATAACAAGTGTCATGAATCTAGCTGGGGAGACATGTGGCCATGTATATTCTGGGAATTTGGCCAGAGTATATTCTATTTATTTCTTGTCCTGTAACATTGGGCAAGAAAAGAGCCAAATGTGTTCCAAGCCCCGTGTAGGAATATGCTGAGGTCTGTCCTAAGGTATAAATTCTGCACACAGGTATGGCAGCAGTGTCTTGGGGAGAAGCCCTGAGTGACTTGGGTGTTATGAATTAAAAGTCACTGAAAGAAGTATTTCAGAAAATTACCGATAGCCATGGAGACAGATAAAAGCCAGCGTGCCAAACTTACCTTTTTTGTTAAGAAAAGCTCAAATTTGTTTCTTCATGCTGGGTGTTTAATTGATTTACAACTGAATTACTTTGTCATTCTGTTCTTCATTTTAAAAAACCCAAACAATCTCCCCTTTTCTAATGTAATACTAAATTTACGTGAAAACAAATGACAATGGGTTTTTTTGATGTTATTTCAAAACTTAAATCCAAAATCTGATTGGAGTAAACTTGAGTAATGTCATTGAGTAGAGTTTAAATATGAAACTGAGTCCAGAATTTAACATTTACAGCCCTTGTACTGTACCAAATATCTTTTACAATTGGGGAAAAAAACTTGCCTTCTGTACATCTCTGTAGTAGTGACTTTAGTTTCAATCAGACCTAATGCACTGTCGTCTTCTTTGCTGCTATTTGAAGTGTGCTCACCTTTCCATTTTAAGGATGAAGTACTGTTTAAGCTAAATATTTGAAATGATTCTTCAACCCAAGTGCATTAAAAAAGGGGATAGTAATAACACATAAAACTTTTATTTCTTTGTGAAATGTCATGATTTGATTACTTTTTGGCAGTAGTTCTAAGATTGTTCTTGTTTTGTTTTTTGTTTTCTTTGTAATGTGTTTTGTAGAAGGTGTGCTTTTGTTGTAAATCAGAAATGTCTTGTCTGGGTACGTAACTCTGAGAAACAGTAAATTTTGGTAGATAACACTTCTCTCTGAATTAAATACTAATCTTCAGGGTTGTTTTTCCTCAATACTTCAGATTTAAAAAAATATCCCCTTGGGAGTTTAATCTCTGAAACATTTGGGTAAGGCTTTGGAATTAGGACAGTAGTCTGGCAAACTTCATTCTCCGATTTAAATTATGCATATCAGTGTGAACTAACTCCTTAAAATCTGTTTAAGCGCAGTAGGTTTATAAAGAAGAAAGCAATGAAGTTCTGTGATAAGCACAGTGTTTTTCCTGAAAAATACAGTAAGATGCTGCAGATCATGTTTGACCTCAGTCCATGATGCAATTAGGCATTTTGATAAGCAGTGGTTTTCCTTAATTAAATTAAATATAGATGAACTAATAAAAGACCTCTGTGACTTGATCCCTCTATCTTGCTGCTTGATGTTTGCCTCCAATGCGGATCAGCTGAAGGTCTCTTAAATGGGTTCATGCAGCTTGATTTGCACAACACTGAATTTGCTGGCAATACTATTAGTGGCACGTGTGGGTGCAGGGGACAGAGGCGTAAGGTGTGTCCCAGAAGGGATGTTCCTAGTCCTTCTTGAGAAAAGACAGGCCCATGTGGAAACAAAATCTTGGAATGCCAAAACCAATTTCTCTTTGCTTATAATCCAGAGCCCTTCTAGGAGGACTGTTCTGTCAGAGCCTGGCCTGTGGTCCTCAGGTCACAGATTCTGTCATATTCCTGCTAGCATGCCTTTCTGAATTTGGCCTTTGCCCAAAGAAACTGATTTCAGTAACTTTGCAAATAATAAACTAATTATTATGAAGAGTGTAAATGACATTTTAGACTCAATCCTCTTGCTTCAGATGCCACTGAGTGCTTTGCCATCAAATTTCAAGAGAGAAAGATTGATATTGTTTGATAAAAAAAAATCTATTTTGATTATCATAGAGCTTTTAAATGGCATTTAAAATGCTTATCAAGAACAACATAAAAATTGGAGGCACTTCACAAGCATATAATAAACCTTATTTTTATACCGTGGTGCCTAGGGGGATATTCTACTGATTAATCAAGCCTTGAGAAATAAGATAGGCAATCTGGTGCTACTAATCTTACATCCTTGCCTGAGAAAAAGCTGCAGGGTAGATGAATGCTCAGGTATTAACATGTTCTGACACTGGCCACAATTCTGTCTCTCTAAAGTTAATGAGAAGCTTTCTCTTGATTCCCGAGTGCGCCAGATTGGGACTGGCCTGTCTGCCTCTGACATTAAAATAAAACTTGGAAACAACTTCTGTGTTAAAAAAGAAAGAGAGTAGACATTCTGCTTCCCAGCATAAAAAAATAAACCAAAGAAGCTGCCCTGAGGATCCAAAATTATCTCTGGGGCCCAGCAAACAATAGTTTATTTCTTACTCTAATGGCAAGCTTTCTAGAGCTGTGGATAAAAGTGTATTTAATGGAAAAGCACTGCAAGTTCCCAGAGCCTGTGGGGAAAGCTGCTCGGCACCTGATTAGGATTCCAAGCGAATGTGAATTCATTTAACAACCCTTTTCAATGTTGTCTTTTGTGCAGACCGGTTTGGACTCGGACAGCCAGGCAGGATGCCTGCTTCTGTGAATGCCATGCGAGTCCTGAGCACAAGCACAGATCTGGAGGCTGCTGTGGCCGATGCACTGGTAAGAGGAAAAATACAAAATGCTTCCAACACCGGAAAGTGGCTTAAAGTTACCTGTACGTATGTTCTCCTCGTTCTAAATAGCTTTGTTCTGATTGTGCCGGTGTCTGATGCTGTAGAGTTAGTTATCTTTTGCTGTTTTGTCTTTAGGTATATTGGCAGCAATGTTTGTTTCCTTATTTCATGTTAATTCTCCACAGTTGTTGTCAAACTGTGGCTTGGTGCTAGAGCTGCAGGATGGGTTGAATCAGCTGTTAGTCTTTCACTTGGCTGTTAAATGATGTATGTGGCACTGTGGGGGTGCTCAGCACCTGCGGGATCAGGGATTTCCATCAGTCCTGTTACCTATATGAAGACTATGTCAGAAAAAGTGTTCTCTATTAGTGTTGATTCCTTATCTGGTTTAGAAAATAACTAAGAATTTCACAAGTTCCTGCCTGTGTTATTTGCACCTGTCTAGATACTTGAATCAGCTTGTAACTTGGCTTGCCTGTAATCAGTACCATCTCATGCAGTTAAATTGAAGTAATTTGTCAAGTTTGCTGCTAGTACTTTCAAACATTCAGTACATTTCTAAGTAAATTCATTGTAATTTAAAAAAAAAATTATTGTCCTGTACAATCTTACTGTATTATAACATCTCTCAGCTAGAACCCAGAAAGTGTTTTCTGCTCTTCAGAAGGCAAGTGTTAAGCCTGTGGATCTACCTTCAGTATTTGGGGTAGAGAGGATGTGTATAGGCAGGAGCAATTATTGTACAGCATTAGCTGGGTACCAGTATACCTTGGGTCTTCTCCAGCTCAAGACCTGAGGGGAGGACTTCCAAATGTGTCTTGAGACAGATATCTCAGATCTCTATGGAGAATGAACCACGTCCCCAGAGTTTGTGATAGGTGTCCTTTCTCCATTTCCTAGTTCACTTTCCCTAAGGATTGCGAACATTTTCCTTTTTATATTCGATTATCACCCAGCTCATGTCACCCCCATTTCTAGACAATTATTAGAGTACTCTTAGACAAACATCACTTTTTTCCAAAATCTGCCATTCAAAAGAAAAGGATATGTGACTAATGTATAGGTAGGACAGTATATGATAGATGGCAGTGTTGCATTTAGTGGGCTGAATCATTAGTGGGCATTTTCATTACCAGACATAACAGCTTGTGAACAAATTTCTGCTCTCGGCACCTCAAATTTGCCACCAGAGCAGTTCAAGGCATAATTATAGATGATAGCTTGCTTGTGTAAATGAAATCAGGCTATATCCATGAATGTGAGCAGCTGCTCAGTACAGGTTTCTTGGAGGAGGGGGTCACAGTGTTTCAATTCGCTGCTGATCACTCATCTCTCTTTAGTGTAACTTAATATTCAGGTAGACTTACTGTTCCCTTTTAAATATTCCACTCTTTTAAACAAAAAAGACATTATACTGGAATGTTAAAATCTGAAAGGGTTGAACACTTCAAAGGGAAATCCTTAAGTCTAGCTGGATACTAAGCTGCTGACTTGGTTGATCAATTTGAATTCGTATGGCTTTAGGGGATGCAACATGATCTTGTTGTTCCTTTCTTTCCCTAATTTGCTCTTCTCACAACAGGCAATTTACAAATGCTCCTTAGGCTTCTTTTGAGAGAGTGAAGCAATGCCAGCTCTTACCCAGCAGTCTTGTTTTCAGAGAAGCATTATTTTCTCTGTAGTAAGAAATGAAAATAACTTCTCCAGAGATGGCTTCAGCCAAATACTCAGTTTAAGTAGAACACAGTGGGTCGTTTTGTGACCTCTACTCTCCATGTACAGTTCCCACTGGATCCAGTCTGTCTCGAGAGCTGGACTTGGGGTAAACCTGCAGTGTCTGTACTGAGAATCAGTGCTTGGATCTGTCAGAAGAGCTCAAAGGGTGATAGAAACTCTGCTATTAAGTAAGGCCTTTAAGCCAGGGATGACAGTCAGTGTGTCTTGAAAGAAGCTGAGCTTCAAAAAAAAATGTGGTGTAAGAACTGTGGGTTGAGAGAGAACTTGATCCAGTGAAGCTGATTAAATGTGGTGCACTGTAGATAGTGGTTTCCTGACATCAGAATTTCTTTCCAAGACTCTAAAAATCAAATGCTACTGATAATATATGGGGATATAAATCATTATGAAAAACTTTGGTATCTCACGGAGCAGCATTTCTAAAAGGTAAGCAGAGAGTTGCTGTATATAGATCTACCATCAAAAACCCTATTAACATATAATCTCACTTCCAGGCTCCCTAATGGAAATTGTAGGCTATAAGGGTAAAGCAACAGTTTGGAGATAAACACAGGCGTTATTATACCCACTTTTATTTTGCATATACTGTATTTTAATTTGCTAAGACACATTTGCTATACGTTTTTGTTGCAAAACCAAACCCTACATAAGCTTCTGACATAATTCTCTATGCTTTTTCCCACCCTTCAATATTTTCCTGCCTACAGCTGTTAGGAGACTCCAGGAGCAAGGTACTAGTGCTTTCTTGACTTTTTATTTCTACTTTCCAACTTTACCCACCCTGTTGCTAACACCCATGATACTGCATTTGTGTTAATTTCCACACTTCAAACCTGCAGTCCTAGTGGAAGCAAAACTGCTGGCTTCACAAGTCCAAGAGCTGCAGGGCTTCATGCTGGAGGGAATTCTGTAGCAAACACTTTAGAATATAGACTCTCGTTTATCTGATATATATCAGTCCTGTTCTGTTAAGGTTCATATAAGATTTTGTTATGTAGTATAGCACACCATTTGTTTTGCTACTATAATATTTTAATATCTCTTCTATAAGAATCGAGGTTGTCAAAGATGGTACCTAAGGGAATCAGGTCCTCTAATGCCATGCTATGGAAATGAGTGTGATTTGAGTACTCAGCTCCCATAGCAGCCTCTGGAAAAGTCCTAGCCCAGACTAACGGAGAAATTGTCATCTCCTGTATCCCAGTGCATTTCTAGAGCCACTTTATTATCAATATCAAAGTGACTGTGCATGTCAGCACAGATTATTTCATCTCTTCATTTTTTTCTTGAAGTAGAGTTTGTATCGTCATAGAGTCTGTAACAGTGGAACTGACTGTTATTGACACTAAAACAACACATGATTACCAGTAGCTAATTTCACTGGGCATAAATATCTAGCTTTCATGCTGGGGAAGGCAAGCCCTGCTCCCCTTAGTCACTTGAATAGTCTCATTGAAATCAGTGGGATCTGTCTTGCTCTACTGTGAAAGGTAAGCAGGCAGTGCTTGGTGATGTCTGTAAAACACATCACTGTAGCAATAATGAATAGTCTTTGTTTTAGTGATTATGGATAGAATGTATTTCTTTTGGCACTGATGTAACTATATATAACTTACTAAGTCTGAATTTCCCCATTTCCAGAAAAAAACAGTGAGAAGAAGATATGAACCCTATGGGATGTACTCCGATGATGATGCTAACAGTGATGCATCAAGCGCTTGCTCAGAGCGCTCCTATGGTTCCAGAAATGGGGGCATTCCACACTACCTGCGGCAGACTGAAGATGTGGCTGAGGTTCTGAACCACTGTGCCAGCTCCAACTGGTCTGAAAGGAAAGAGGGGCTCATAGGTCTTCAGAACTTACTGAAAAGTCAGCGGACACTGAGGTGACCTTGATTTTGTAATTCAGCCATTCATGAAAGATGGCTATAGTCAGATGTCAGTAATATGTACCTGCCTTATGGAGACAGATAGTATCTTTCACAGCTATGAAGGCTTTGTCACCACAATTTGGAACTTTTGGAAAAAGTTCTGCTATGTCATCAGTGTAATTTGTGTTAAATTTGTAGCAGTAATGTAGAAAGGACTCAGTTAAGCATGCTGTCTTCTCTTAGCCTTCCTCTGTTTCGTGAAGGCTTCCAGTGGTAGGTGCTTGTTGCAGCACAGTGACATTTCCCACAATGATGGTATTGTAAAAGCAGTACCACCCTTTGAATGCATTTACATTAGTCTGAACCTTCAGTTTTTCTCCCAGCAATTCAGTTGGTAAAGTGAACACTCACTGCATTTACTCTAAAATGTGTGTGTGTGTGTTTCAAAGCTGAGATCAGACAATGCTTATGGTGGGTATACTTTGACTCCTTATGAAGTCTGTCAGATGTAATTACAGATATTACTTATAACTCTTGAAAGATCTTAGATATTTGAGGCTTCCGTAAGTGGTGTAGTTTGTAGAGAGAAATTTCTTAGGGCAGTGAAATAGGTGTACTCTTAAAATTTGCTTGTGGTAGGAGAGAGACCTTTTTCCTTTGTTGAAAGACACATAAACCCTTCCAACACCTTTGGCATGTCACACACTACAGCAGATCTTTGAACTGCCCGGTAGTTATATGGAAACTTTGTATGGCCACAGCTGGCTCTCAGGCCATAGGTTTTTGCCCTTAGTTTATGGTGAAAGTGTTTGGAAACAAGTTGATTATCTTTTGACTCCTTTGAAGATAACATTCACAAAGAGCTCTGACACTTTATTTTCCTGTTATGAATATGGTGTACTTAGATTATGACCAAGTTTATAAGTGGTGGTTGTATGGTTTATAGATACCTACTTGGATTTACACAATTCTTTCCATTTTAAAAGGCCTTTACACTGGCTGAAAATACTTGATGGCTCATGTTAACAGGCTGAAGGAAATGTATGGAGAGCAGGCCTGGAAAGGTTATTCTTTTGCTATCATAAAAATATTCTAGAACTTTACATGACATGGTATAGTCCTTAAGTGGGAAGTGCTACAGGTTTTTAATATGGGTAGTTAGACTCCCTACATCAGAGAAGCTTTTTAATGTTGTCTATTTATGAGTCTTTTAAAGATGCTTCCTTCATGTGTGCTGCCTCTTTTTTTTTCTCCCCTCCCCCCCCCCCCTTTTCTTTGTTTTGAATTGTCTGGAGAAAGCTGGCACCTCATATGGTTGGGTGAGACTTTGATTTTCCCACAAAGGTGTGTGAGAATTTATAACAAAGGGTTTGAGTGCTGCTTTTCCAAGAGAGGAAATGCTGAGAAGTATGGGTGATGGGCTGTTTATCCAGATCTGTAGCTCTTAGCAGAAATGCTGGTAGAATTGTTTTCAACCCTGCTGGCTGCACTGTTTAAACTATACTGCTGTCACTAGTCCCTCAAGCTTGCAAGTTTTCGTAGCTTTGATTCTGAATAGTTTATAAACCTGTCCCAGAAACTACACCTCTGCAGGGTTATTTTTTAATTTGAAACTGGTTTTAGTTCTCTAGATTATATTTCATTTTGGTTTGCCTTTGGTCTGCTTCCTCCTTGGTTCAGGGTTGATCTGGTGCCTGTTCTAATGATTAGATTTTATCATCCTGTTTGTTCCCACGGCATCTTGCAGATCATCATCAAGGTCATTAGTCCAAGGGGCAAGTCTGTCTTCTAAATAAACCCGATATCTTCTGTTGTGGTATAACAAGTTTTATAAAAGGCAGAGATGTGGCTAGGTTTCCTTTCGTGCTCTGAACTGAAAGATGGTTGATCTTACATTACCTGGGATTTGCATATCCAGAAAGATGTGCATGCAGAGTGGTGTGGCGCTTACCTACCCTTTTTGATTCTTATAGTTTCATGTGGCCTAGTTCTCTTTAAGTGCTCCCCATAAGGTCTTCTAAATAAAACAAGGCCAACAATTCCCTTAAGGAAATGCTTTTCCACTGCCTGTTTCTGTTTAGTACTTGCATTGTTACCTTGGGTCCTTCAGCTTTTAAAGAGACACACTTAAACTTGCTCAATCATGTAACCTGTGCCCAGAAAGAAAATTCATTAGTATAATAACTAAGGGTTTGTTCAGAGAGATGCAATTCAAGGGAGCACTGTTGTAATTTTGGGACTGTGCAGTCTCACCCTGAATGAAGTTGACGGCTTCCTGTGACGTTGTTACAAAGACTTTCCTTTACATCAAGCCATTTGGTTTGTCCCCTTTTAAAATTTGGTTGGCCTTTAATGCATAAGTTTTTTTTTTGAAAAATGTCTTGTATTACTTATAAACAAGTTAAGGTAAAAGAAGCTGTAGACTAATTGCATATTCTGGTCTGTTATTTGAAGCTTATTTTGAGAGAGGGAGAGATATGTTGGTGGACTGTAGAACTAATGTCTTTCTGGAAAGAGAGTACCTGTAGTTAAGACCTGAATGGTTGTTTTCTGAGTAATCCACGTGCATTTCAATAGCTGCTCTGGTTTCATAGTAATGGTAGAAAATATCTAATTGCATACATAGTAAGCAGGAAACGTTACCTAACTGAGTTTGTGTGCACAGTAAACAAACAAAATTTCTGCATTCTTTGGCAGTTTGCCTTGCAGGAAAACTAAGACTTGTATTTTCAATACATTGTAAATAAGAGCTTTGGAATCAAATGGTTCTGCATTTGACTCAAACTCAGTATCTTATGAAAGGGACTCTTACATCATTCTTCTTGCCTGTGGCATAAAAAGAGTGTTACTGACACCGAATAATCTTACTAATAGGAACCTGGATTGTGCTTTGATTTAATTATCTTCTGATCTACTAGGTTTCCCACTTGTTAATCTGTTTTGTATTTCTGTATATTTGTCTACTTCATGTGCCTGCTGTCAGACTTCGGAGTCAGTTCTGATATTTGTTAATATTGTGTGATTCTTGACTGATGTTACTGAAGCGACTGAAAATTTAGACCAAAATATTTATGATTAGTATATACCCAAACAGCATGAAAGTTCTGATTTTACTTGAAAATTTGAATTCCTTGACACAAGAGACTTGAGAAACCTTGGCTGCAAAAGATCCATGTTTCAGTGAGTCAGTGACCTTAAAAAAAGGCAGAAAATAAATACTTCCCAAATGCACGCATTTCAAGTTGTAATTTGCACTCCAGAACATGGGAATAGGTTAAAGTAGGAGAAAATACAAGTGTCTGGCTTATGATTAAAAAAAAATTAAATGTATTAGATTTCTTAATACAAGACTGGTTATCCCAGCAGTTAAACTGGAATGCCAGTTAAGGCTTTGCCTAGATACAGTTTTTGAAAGTGTGACTTAAGTATCATTAAATAAAGAAGGTTAGATCTTTCAACTGTTAGTATTTATCATTTTTTTTCTGCAACTAAAGCTTTATCATTAATACTGTGTTCTATTTATTTCAGCCGAGTTGAGTTGAAAAGGCTATGTGAAATATTTACTCGCATGTTTGCTGACCCTCACAGCAAGGTAAGATCACAAAGATTTGGCTTTTTCTCTTACGTTACCGTGTGTGCACATTTGACACTGTTCCAAGATGAGTGGTCCATATTTCTATAACTGTGATCTGCTGGGGAAGTGGATGTTTATAGGTCTCCTTAATTTTTATGTTTTACAATGAGGGGATGTGTCTCAGTCTCTCATGTTGCTAGGAACTGGTTACTGCTTGCTTCCTGAGGAGCAGCTCTCCCATGTCAGCTCCCGGAGTGAGAAGTTCAGTTTTACCTGTAGCTCTCTAGAGAGTGTCTTGGTAATACACACCAAGATTGAGGTCTGTGAAGGTAATAAACTGGAGTTCAGCATCACGATCACTGGGGTTTGTATATTGTGTACGCCTGGGAGCAGTATGGGGTCTCACCAAGATACTGTTCTGGATCTCGTAATTAAAGTCCTTAATATAGCTATTTTGCCTTCTTTATAGAACTGACCTTTGAAGTTAAAGGCCAGTGCATAAACATACAAACATCTCTTAAAAAGCAGCAGGGTAGGGAATAGGGATGTTGGACCCACAGACACATTCAGACCCAGTGGCCTTCTGTCAGCAGATAAGTGAGAGCAGGGAGAGGGGAAAAGAGAGTTTCACGCCCTGTCCTGAGGAGGTTTGCTGCTTGAAGGCAGTCAGTAGTGGCTGAGTAAAAACATCTGCTGTTAGGTTAAATACAGTTTGAGAGAGCATAAGTTGTACAAATATTTGTATTTCAAACTACTTGGTAAGCCAGTTTAAATAACCAGTTGACGGTGGAAATGCCATGGACAGGCACCAGTTGCCTGTCACAGGAAGGTCTTGCTCCAACTGTGAATTTTTGGCCATAGTCCCGATCAGCTGTCCCACAGGCCTTGCTGATTGTGGCAGTTCCTACCTTGTAAGGCCTTAATGTTTTGGTTCTCAAAGGTTCAGTTTGTGTTGTGGAAAGGGTGAAGGTGTGGATCTTTGCAAAATAGTTCCAATTCCTGTGTAAGGTGGGGGTTTATTACACACTGGACTCAAAGTTGTGTCCTTTGCGGTGATCTGTCACCTGCATTGCTTCTGTAGAATTATTGCTACAAACATATTAGTTGTGGTGTTAAACATACCCAGATTTTTACATATAAGCATATATAAATGTTACTTTCATGACTGAGACTGCATCTAATACAAGGTATATAATGTTTTAAGAAACTCTGAGAAGGGATTCAAGAAAATGTAAACTTCCAGTGAATGCATCCTTTATCTGTTTGCAAACTGCATCTGGACAACTAGCCTTGATCACTATGTGTGCTAACGAGTGGTTTGTTTTGTTGCATGGCCTGCTTTGCCGTGGAATTCACAACAGAGAGTAAGTGTATTCTACCCCCTTCCTTCATTTGTTTCATGTGGTATTTTAATACGACACGTTTTAGACGTGTCTTGTCTTATTTTTGCTTTTTTTTTTTCATTTTTTTTTCCCCAGCCATATAGTCACTAAAATCATTCATTCATGGAATTGTCTATAACAAAATCATCCTGAAACCCAGCCCTCCCCTTGATTATTTTTATTTAAAGCACTGTGTTCCTTTTTGTGACACCTGTTTTGTTTATAGGTCTTTAGCATGTTTCTGGAAACCCTGGTTGATTTCATCATCATTCATAAAGATGACTTGCAGGATTGGCTTTTTGTTCTCCTGACACAGTTGCTAAAGAAAATGGGAGCAGATTTGCTGGGGTCTGTGCAGGCGAAAGTTCAAAAAGCTCTGGATGTCACCAGGTAGAGTATTAGATGGCAAATACTATGGAGGTTTTTGCAGGATTACAGAAGGGCATCTGATGAACGTTTTAGAAACACAGTAGTGCTGTATGTTTTGAGGGCTTAATCTTGATGAATACCAGAATAAAGGAGACCAAAGTTATGTACAGTATTCCAGGCATTGAATTAGAAAGGCCTGTCTCTTTTCTAAATAGGTAACTGTAAAGCATAACATTTAAAACTGATATTGCTAATTTGTGGTTTGTTTTGATGTGCATGTGCTTAGATATCAATTTTGGTTTTGATTGATGGAGGAGAATATTTGCACTATTCATATTTACCAGAAAGTTCAGAGCATCTTTCATACTGTTCAAACAGCAAGTAAGGGTAATGTCAGGATAAGACCTTGAACGCTGCTTCAATGTGCACACCAATTATGTAGTCAGTGTCCTTTCTAAGGATGTCCAGCACAGGACACTGTTACAATAAAGTTCAGCTAATCCTGGAAACAGGATAATTTAAAAAAAAAAAAAAAGTAATCCAGGGGAAAATATGATAGAGTAGGAAAATAGAGGAGAGCAATCAAAACTAGGTATGAATTCTGAGGACAGGATAAACACCAGGCTGCTACTAGAGATAAGGGAACAAAGCACAGCCTGAAATGAAGATGGAATGGACAGATGTGCCAAAAGCTGGGTAAGTGTACAGAGGGTAGATAAAGTAACGGTGTATGAAGGTATTTATTTAGCAGTCTTCTCCGGTATTCAGTCAGTAATCAGCTAATCCTTAGACTTGGAGTTTCTCCGGTTGATAGAAAGTTAAAGAGAAAATTATTAAAGGTGTTGAAATCTGTTGTGCAAACTTTAACGTATAGAGTTAATTTAGTCCTGAAAATTTATGTTGCATTACATTTTTGCCTTTTTTTTTTTTCTTTGACAGGGATTCTTTTCCATTTGATCAACAATTTAACATTTTGATGAGGTTTATTGTAGATCAGACCCAAACACCAAACCTGAAGGTCAGTATCAGAAAAGCCTTTTCAATAAAGTATCAAGAAGGTTGTCTAAGCTTGCCATGTCAGGCATATCATAAAGCATAGAATTCATGTTATGATGACTAATTGTAAGTACCTGCATGATGCAGAAGTTGTATTGGTACTTAACTCCTTCTCCATTTTAATAAATCTAAGTATCTTTAAAATAGGACCGTGTAAGAGCTGGGCTTTCAGCACACTGAGACGTATTTAAGTTTGGATACAGAAGATTCCTCTTCACCCTGGTCTTGGTGGGAATAAAACCTGGCTGTGCAGGACAGAAGGACCAGGTTGTCTGAATGGCTGGACCCTAGGCACACCTTCACAAGTGCTTGATGCACAGATCAGACATAACACTTGCAGGGTTTGGAGGAAAAAAACATCAGAGCTTTCTGTTACTGAATCCTCCCAAAGGGATATTGTTTTGCAGACTGTTTTTCAGGAGATTGCTATGTCAAGACTATAGGAAGACTATAAACTCTAGAAATCACACGCATTTATCTTCCAAGGACAGGAATGTACAGGATACCAAATGACTCCTGTTCTTTAATCTTTGAAATTTTGGATCTTTTGGGACTCTGTCATGTATTTGGTTAATACCAGAAGCTATGGTTTGGCATCTGGAACAGTAATCACTGGTGAAACCAGCATGGTAGGGTACTGATTTGTTTACACAAATACACAAGTAGACATACGTATTTCAAGCCAGTTCTTGTATACTGTTCCAGGCTCTTACTACACAAAATTTATCCTGTGTAGAAAATTGCTTCTAATTTTTAAGCACATGACACAAAGACATGTCACAAGGCTATTTTGATTTTTTTTCCTCGTGACATAAGTCTTGTCAATCTGTAGTAGTATCTGTTTATTGTGGGATAAATCCATCTCTGCCAGCTTCTGAGCCTAACCAAGTCCCTTTTCACTTCTCAGGTGAAAGTTGCTATCCTGAAGTATATTGAGTCCTTGGCAAGACAGATGGATCCAACAGACTTTGTGAACTCTAGTGAGACAAGACTTGCTGTATCTAGAATTATAACTTGGACAACAGAACCAAAGAGCTCAGACGTGAGAAAGGTAAGCCAGGGTGATGAAGTATTCACAGTAATTACTGTTGTTCAAAAAAAAAGTAAGAAAAGGAAAATAACACAACAAAAAATGGTCATAAAGGTAATGAAAAATTCAGTTACTAGATTCTGTTCTTAAGAAATTGATTTTACATACCTTACTGTCCAAGACAAATTGCCGATTCATTAAAACACATTTCTGAAGCATGACTTCGTATATTTTTTTCTAGTAGGTACTTAGTTGTGTGACTTTACTAATACTGTGTAAAAAGAGGTACAGTTTGAAAATGTACTTTTTCTTGAGCAGTCTGGAAATTTCTCAAGGTTTTTGTTTATTTAGGTGAAGGCTCTGTGCTTTGTAGACTGAATGAAATCTAGCACAACTTCTGTGTTATTATATTGTTGAAAGAAAGTAAACAAATCAGTAAGCTGCCAGGGACTCTCAGCTTTTTTCTTTTAAGAGCTGTATGTTTATCTCAACCTGGAAAAAACTGACACATTTAGGTCAGGCCTGGGTTATACAGTTACGTTGTTCTTTATCTTGCTGTAGATGCAAGTGTCAGGCAAGCTAAAATGGGCCAGGTGGTGATACTCATCTTTCCCAAGAGAAAAGCGAGACTTAAGTTCTATGTACCTGGCATCTGTAACACAATTTAAAACCACCTTCTCTTCTCAGTCCAGATGTAGAAATAAATTCTGGTAAGAGTTAAAGACTTGGAGATGTACTTGGATTAAAAAAGAAACAAACACCACCACCACAAAAAAAAAACCAACAACAAAAAACCCACCCAAAATAACCTAAACAAACATTTAAGCATTTCAGAATGTAAAAATTGCCTGCATTTTTTCACTCTACATGCACTTAAAATGTTGAATTAACGGTAGAATGACAGATTATGACTTCGGAAATAAGAAATCTATTTTTAGTGATTATTTGATTTCTGATGAAAAGATCATTAGGGATCAAAGGTGCTGGAACTGCAGCATTACCTGATAGCTGACACGAAGTTTCAAAGAAGCTTTTTGGGTTCATGCTGCTTTCTCACATACAGCTGATTGATTCTAGAGAAAAATGTCTCATGCTCTTCTATGAAGATTTTCTGCAGGGATTATTCACACCAATGTGACTGAAATTTGCTTCTGCAAGATAGTCAGCCTCAGAAAAAGAAAGGTTGTTTTAAATCTTGGACTTAGATCTGGAATGTGCCTTTCCATTTTGATGCCTCCATGAATAAAGCCAGAAAGAATTAAACAGTCAAAGAAGCCGCTTCTCTATTACAGCTCAAGTAAACCTCAAGCAGTATACTGTGCTCATGGTCTGCGAGAGGGAGTTGTAATTAATTTAAGTAGAATTATGCATTGAAAAGCAAAATCACTGCCTATTGCTCAGTGAAGAAATCTTCCACCATTAGGGGTCATCATTGCTGCATACAAAATTGAGTGCAGAGTATCTGCAGAGCTGAAAAAATCGGCTGTTCACTGTGGGATGTGAGGAGCGCGTGTTCGCAGCAGGGTGTCCATCCTTCTATCTCTTTCAAAGACTTGCAGAACTCTGGCAAAACTTCCACCAAACTCTACCTGAGCTGAGCAGTACCCAAGCAAGTGCCTTGGGCTGACAAGAGATTACTGAATCTAAATTCTACTTATTGAACCTGCATGTGACTTGGATTTGCCACTGATGCCTGTAGCTTTCAAATAAGTTATTACAGTTAAGCCAGCTTAGGCTACTGAGAGTGAATGCCCAGGTTATCCTTATTTTATCACGCCATTGCTGTACTATGATTTTGTTAAGAACATAGTACAAACCACAGGCTTTAGAAGAAACACTGTAGAAAAGGATTTATAAGCAATCATTGGCCATTATCTCTGCCAGGACTTTAGTTAACAGACTAGTAAGTTCTTTATGTAGTAGGAAACTGGATTATCAAGGGCCAACTGAGGCAGGTGAAATCTTCTGAAGAATGCAGTTGAAAGATTGGCCTCCTTTCTTGGAGACTGTATGTAACTTGGAATAAAGTACCTTTTTTAATAGTAAGGTGTTTCATTTAAGCATCAAAAGATTCTGCCCTCATGGGTGGTGTTATGGCAGTGTTCAAGATCTGTGGTTTTTCTAAGAGCAAAGCAGACCATGCATTGTAAATGTTGTCACAGCCTAAAAATGGAGATGGCAGTTGGGGTTACAGGGGAGAGGAAGAAGAATCAGTTCGGTCTTCACATGATGAAAATACTGCAACAGGCATGTAAAAAGTGTAAAATAAAGTAATTTTTCAGTAGAATTTGGATCTGAGACCACCAGTGCAATCAACTCGGCTCCTGAAAGCTGACAAGAGCACATTTTAATTTTGGTACTGAGGAATCATTACAGGTGTAGTCTGGCCCATATATACTTCTCCAGATGGCATGGTGCAACAGTGATGCTGGTACTCAGCTACTTGTAAAGGAAGGGACTCTTTCCCCCAAGAAATGTAGCCCTGCAGCTAATGTGGTTCTCACCCAGGTTTGAGTTACTGAATGCTACCTTTAATGTAGCATTCAGTAACTCATTTAATTTAAGTAGCATCTGTGTGTGTGATGGTCATGCTGTTCTGTCTGTATTTTACCTTTGAGGAGATGCAGGTAAATCAAGCTTTCTCATGCTGATGGAGAAGTATGTAAACAACCTTTGTCAGTGGGGAAAGCATGTGGCTGCTGCATAGCAATTAGTCAGTCTGATCCTATGGTAGCAATCAAAGGATCTGTTCAAGAAATGGGTTATATTTTCAGTCAGTACCAAAATTATCTTTTTATTAGTGATCATCTGTCCAATACTACTATTCACTGTGTGTGATGGTGATGAAGGGCCCAGACCCATAGTGTTAAGAAACTTGAGAGAAATAGAACAAAAAGTGGCATTTAGTCCCAGAACTTTTTTCAAGCTGAATGATACAGCTTTATTAATAAAACTTGCATGTACTTTTGATGAGTACTTAAGCACACTTAACATGACACCTAGCTTGATCATAGTTTATAGCTACTGAAGTCAGAAAGAAACTTAGTCAAAGGAAATGCTGCTGGGCATGAAACAGTTTATGTTCTTCTATAGAATGACATCTGTAGCTAAACATAAGCTCCCTTATCACAAAAACATGACGTACTTTGAGGAACACGCAGTTGATATTACAGAGTGTCACTGAAAAAATGTGATTGCCTCTCAAGGCAGAAACCATTTAAGCTTCTCATAGTAGCTGTTAACTATGTATGGTCAAAATTATTGTCAAGCTTTATGTTTAAAATAGCTGATCTGCAGGGTGTTGTGGGTAAATATTTGTCTTGTTTTAAAGATTGTTAATACTTATTGGGTGTTTACCTTGCATGCAAATGAAGATTTACTTCCTGCAAGCAGTGCTAGAAAAGAGGTGAAAGACATTTGTCCTGCATACTGAACAAAAGCCATTGAGTAGGCACAGCACTGCATGGTGACCTGGGTGGGACACGGTGCCAGTGCAAGGAGAGCACCTGGTAGTAATTTCCACATACATGGATGGCTCGATGCTTTTTGCCCAAGCAGAACATATCAATGGGGAGGGCACAAATCAGGTTTTCAGATAACTGAGTTCTAATTTTGAGTGCAGTAGCATCTAACCTTGTGCAGTGTACTCAGGTTTCCTCTGCCTTGGTTTATTTCTCTCTGTAACAGGGTATTCAGTCTAATTTTTCCCTGGAAAATGGTTGATTTGATGAAATCATTTTACAAAAGCCAGTTAATTACTGAAAAGTAATTCAGTGGCAATGCAAATACTGTAAAGACTGGTCTGAGGACAATAGGCCAGTAACTTCACCATGCTATCACTAATATTGCCAACAAAATTATTGTGCAATCCTTACATAGGTAAAGTGCTTATTGAATTTGGATGACAGACTTGGGCTCTGTGTGGGAAAATACTTTGATCTTGGAAAAGAGCCATCAGCTTGAGAATGGAAATTAGAATGAGGCTTCTGATTTGGCTGTGGTCAAAGCCTCTTGTCCAAGGCTCAGGTGAATGGAAACTTTTATTAAACATGAGTACTCAGCATTTGAGGGGTTGGAATCATCTGTTGAGGGCACACAGGATCTTAACATTTAAGATCAGCTTGTACAAGCTGAAGGGGAACAAGGCCTCCTGAGCTGAAGAGCCAGTGACATTGCCTGTTATCCTGTTAATCAGCCAAGCCCTGATCTTAACGGTAAATAACAAGACCTGTATTGCCTGATTGTCATCTGGACTGCTAATCTCAGGGAAGAAGAAATTTCTCCTTTGTGCCAGATATCCTCACTGTCTTCTCTGTCAATGAAATATTCTTGCAGTATTCTCTTACAAACCACATTATGGGCAGCCTTGTGTCATGTGTACATTATGTTCTGCCTTACACTTGTGTAGCTGGGAAAACTTTTTCTTTCAACTGTCCCACTCATTACTGAATTTGGTCAAGCTGCCCTTGAGTACAGACAGTGGATGGGACTTGATAGGAAACTGGAACCATTGCAGTGAATCAAAAAGCCCAGGAGAATGCTTATGTTGCTGTCATTTGCATGAAGTTCCCCTCAGAATTCCTAGGGCTATGGCCCTTTCTGGATTGCCACCACTGGTTTGCAGGTGAAGTCTAGTGGTATCCAAATCAAAAAAGTTTGGGATCAGATATTTTCCTAAAACTGATTGAGAAATTGATTCTGAATTACACTAGAAGATGAGGAAGAAAGAGATAAGAAAGCTGCAGATTAACAATTCTTCATGTGCTCAAACAGCCAACTAAGATGTATTTGCTACTTTAACTAGTAGTCCTAGATGATATTTATTGAGAAATATTGATGATGTCACTTTTATAAGGAAATTGGATCTATCAATAAAGCCCAGAGCAAATTTGGGTAAAATATTGCTGTGATGTCTGTAGGAAGGAGCAGTGATAGACAGGAAAGCAAACACTTCAGAGGAAATGAAATTGGGCTCCTTTGCAGTGTGATGCCATGAGACCTCTCAAATCTCTCCTGGAGTTTTAATTTCCTGTCTAGCATCAGGCTGGTTTGAGCAACTCTGGGACAGATGCTTTGCTGTAAAAGCACTCCCAAAGATTCTTAGTGAGCTGAATGGCATTGTTCGTCTTCACTGGTGTTGGACAATAAACACTGTTGGTCACAGCCTGCTACAGCAGCAGTGGCAAAGAGGATGTTTGCAGAAATGCTTTTGAATGTCAAATTGTTTTAATCCCTCCCAGCTGCAGGCCTTTGCCTTTCTGGTTCAGAGGTTTCTCTAGCACTCTTGCAATATTCCTACAGCAGATTTGTGTCTCATGGACTCCATGAAGAGCTAAGCTACCAGAGAACCAGGCCTTAGGTTTTCAGTTTCAGGTTTACGGAATCTTAAATAACACTATGTCTTCTATGACCTTGTATGAGGTCAGCCTTTTAGCCAAAGAATATTCCTAGATAAGTCAAACTCAGACTAAATGCACAGAGGGACTCCTTTAAACATAGTTTTAGGAAAAATAATGTAACAGATCAGAAATGGCATCTAGTGGACTTCACTGTTCACTTGATGTAATTCTGTTAGAACAAAAAGGATCTCTGTGTCCTAGCTGTGTTTCCAAAACAGTAGCCATCATTTTGTTTGTTTTGAATTTGATGCTACAGAGCTATGAGAGCCCAAATGTTTTTAGTGTATGCAGTGTGAGGAAATGGCTTTTACCCAATGTTAGCATGCAGAAAATCATCATGGTGCTAGGCTAGATTTCCTTAAAATGAATCTTTGCTCTACACATCCTTTGCATTGAAAGCAGTTTGTAATATAAGCACATTTTCTCGGTTTACTTGAAATGGTAAAAGCTAGTGCAATATAATATGAGATAAGAAATAGCTCCACAGAATGTGTATACTCATGTGACTGTGTAGTATGGTTGTGTGTACGTGCCATTTATATGCACACACCCCTACAGAGGCGATGTATCTATTGAGATTAGAGGTAATACTTACATAATGCATTATGGAGCCATCCAGTAGATAGACTGTATGCTGTTTTCTCTGGACTATGATGGATAAGCCTGCCGTACTTACTCTAGCATTTTGAAAGTCCAGGTTAAAGTGCATGTTTACATTACAAACAATCTTACTTCAGTACCTTTTCTTCCTTCTTAGCTTATACGTTGGAACCTCACCCTTAGGATTCAGACTTACATTATGCTAGGGTTATAATAGAAGTTTCTCAGTTGTTAATGAAATGCAACCTTTTTTCTAGTACTTAAACCTGGTTTTGCAACAAACACTGTTTTGTAAGAAGCAAAGTTACTTAGTCTTCATCAGCTTGAGTTTTGGGGTAACATCTGGCTCTCCAGAACGTTTTTGCAGTGATTTTTGTGCCCAGGTCACAAAATAACAGCATGCATAACGAATCATAATCCATTATAGAACAGTGATCTGATGTGTGGTGAATCAGTGCTGAATATTTTTGCTGGCACTTGTTTGAGATGCCTTTGACCCATGTAATGCAACCACTCATGACTTGTAAAAACCTTTCATGATATATTAAGTGTGTGCTGTATAAAACACAATAGCAATATGGATTTAATCTGTATATGAATTCTGTATTTAAATCTGTTAAACAAATTCTTCCTTTTCAGGATGTGGATGAAAACAGCATATTCTGATAGAAGTCTTTAGGGAAAACTGTGTGTTTAAAAACTGCTCAAGCTAACACGCTTGGGTTACGTATGAACTGATGAAGCCATTATGCTTCATATTACTGTATCAGTATTTGGATGTCCATACTTATCTGATTCTAGACCTGAAAAGGGAACAAGCAGGAGGTTTGGTCTGGTAGATAGTTTGTTGTCTTAGTTATGTTAGCCAGCTAACATTTAATTGTATGCTGGAAAGTACATTTAAATAATACTTGTTTAGAGCCTGTGGACACTCTCAGTAGCTGTGAATTAACTCGCTTAACATCAGCTACACTCATTGGAGAATTAAAGCATTGCCCTATGCCAGTGTGTGCTAATACAAGCTGCCTAATGTGTCAGTGATGCCTCTTGATCTCAGTGGATCTATATTTGATTTGCAGTTTAGTATAATTCTAGGTGACATGAGAGAGCGAGCTTCTCTGTTCCAGTGTGCCTGAAGTTGTTACACGTTTGCCTTAGACTGGACAGTGAAATGAATGATGCATACTGAATAAGATTATAGCAGCCTCCCAGTATGTAAAGGGGGCCTACAAGAAAGCTGTAGAGGTACATTTTACAAGAGCATGTAGGGATAGGACAAAGGGGAATGGTTTTAAACTGGAAGAGGGGTGGATTTAGATTAGTTATTAGGAAGAAGTTCTTTGCCGTGAAGGTGGTGAGACACTGGCATGGGTTGCCCAGAGAAGCTGTGGCTGCCGCATCCCTGGCAGTGTTCAAGGCCAGGTTGAATGGCGCTTTGAGCAACCTGGTCTAGTGAAAGGTGTCCCTGCCCACGTCAGGGGCCTTGAAACTAGATGATCTTCAAGGTCCCTTCCAACCCAAACTATTCTAGGATTCTATGAAAAGTGAGTAGATCCTAGCGTGGATCTTCCCCAGACTGATCACGTGATAAAAGGCATTTGTTGACAGTATTGGTCTATCAGACTGATGCCCTAACTGGAGTCAGGAGCTTGCAAGTTCTTAACTGCTTATTCTTCTGAACTTAGATGTGTGCAAGGATAGGTGCAGGTAGATGCAAGCACCTGTTCCCCTACTCTCCTCCTGGCTGGCCAGATGCAAGTGCCATCTCAGTCCAGCACTGCCTAGGCTTTGCACTTTAACAGAGGTTTTCAAGTGGTTATGGAGGCTATCAGGAGATTGCCAAAGCAAAGCTTTGGTATGAAAACCAAAGGATGACCTAGAAGCCTAAGAGTTGTGGTTGAATTTAATTTTGAGCCAGTGCTGCCCTCTGCTGAAAGGAATCCTCGTTTGGTTTGGTTAAATTTGGTTAAATCAAGTATTTATGCTTTTTGTCACTTGAAATTAAGCAAAGAACTGATTTAAAACTCTTCTCCAAAAATATAGCATGTGTACTGTTTAGATGATTTAGTTGAAATCTGTGCTTTCTCTAAATACCAACTTTGCTGTTTGTCAAACCCAGACCATGCATAGTTGGGTGGGTGAGGATTTGCCAGCTAGGACAACTACAGCTTCCTCAGGGCCCGGTGAAGGAAACTTGGAAGAGAAATGTAAACAGGTAGACTAAAAACCATGTGCACTAATCACACTAATCGTGTTTGCAGTCTCAATTCAATTGTCTAGTGTAAAGAGACCTTGACTGGGAGCCTGAAAAAAGCGTGTCTGTCTGTGAAGTTAATGTTTGCTTTGGTGTGCTTTTCTGTTAATTCTCTTGTAGTCCCTCATAAGCAACCAGGGTATGAGATCCTCTTGTTTTATGGGACTACCAGTGTTGTGGAGTCCATTGCCAATGTTTGAGTAACTTGAAAACTGCTTTCACATAGCTCAGGCAACTAGCTGCTTTTTCTGCTTGGTCTGTTGGAGCAGCAACAGCAGCAATCATAGGGCACTTGTATTAAGCTTAGGTCACTGATCGCATTTCCTTTCTAAAATCAGTGGATTTTTCCAGTTAGCCTTGATCTTTTTGATTAATGAGCCCAAACAATTTCAAAGAGACTTTACAAAAATTCCGCCAAGTTGCAGAGGTTACAGTATTTGATAAATCTGTCCAATGCCCACTGTCTAGGTAAAGCCCAAACCCAAAAGTTGCCAAAGTATTTGTGTCCCTTTAACAACTGGGACTGTTGGACAGCACGAATTGCATTGACCTAAGTGTGAAGCTTCGGGCACTGCCACCAGCTTGTGGAACCTGATCCCTCACTGCATTGTTATAAAGAAAATAATAAAGTTACATAAGTGATCCTTTGCAAATGATTCAAGAACCTGACATGAAGCCAGACCCCCTCACTAGCATAGTCAGGCTATGAAGTCACTAGAGTTTATCTAGTTTAAGCCAGCAGAGAACTGCTTCGTTAAGATTAGATAATCTATAGTGTCTACGTTATATGTCACTGTAAAGAGATGGATTAGGGTTCCACACTAATGGTACAGGGACACAAAGACAAAGGAAAATTCAGCTTTTACTCCTTCTTCAACTTTATATCATCAAGCATGAGTGTTGCATGGAGAATGTTTGTACATTGTGTTCAGAAGTAAATTTTTTTTTCCTTGTTTTAAATTTATCTACTCCAGTAATCTAGTGAAACAAGAGCCAAGATTTTCAGAAATGGCCAGTGATCTGCAAATATGAAAATGTCCTCTGGTTTGTCACAAGCTGAAAATCCGCAGATTTAAAATGCTTAGAAACATTATCTGTAAAAAATGTCCTTTGATTAGATAAATGTGTACGAGGTAAATGGAACTTAGAGGATTATCAAGAGTGTCCCTACCTAACTGTTAAGATGGGTGTAGAAATGCTGCTTCTGATGCTCTTCATTGCTGAAATAAAACTAACTGTATTAAAACTGGAATTACTGGAAGAGTGAAACTAGGAGCATGTTGTAGGTGTGATTTCAAGGTATCATGTACCTTCCACCTTTTGAAGTCAGTAACTGTTCTTGATTTTATGGTATCAGGGCCTGAGACCTTTGTGTGTTAAATCCTAAGTAGGAGCTTTCATGTAATGGCTTTTGCCTTGACTATGTTCTTTTTAAATAGGCCTCAGTCATCCAACTGCACCTCTAGGTTTATTTTAGGCAAAAGACATTATTTCATTCTATTTCCTTAGAAGGTCTTCAAGAAGGACCTTATTTCTAACCCATCAGTGGGAGATACATGGCACAAAGGCCTATGAAACTCTTTCCCGCCTCACTGTACCTTGGGCAGCTTCTGACTTACCAGGCATTTTAATCTCTGAGCAGCCTCTCAACCCTGGAAATCTTGTTGATCAACCTTCCTGTTTTATTTTGGTTTTTAGCTCAATTAATGAGATCTTTTTGTTCTGACACAGAAGATCTGCATGTCCACTTCCTAACCATCCAAGATACGCATGCCATTCACGAACAGGAATGTACTTTGGCATGACTTTGCGTTCAGTTCAACATGCTGATTGTTGTTCTGAGATCTTGTTTGCAGTAATATTTTTATTACAGAAGATACTATGCTGGTGAAAACTTTAAAGTTCTTGGATCAAAATGGACAGAAATACACAGGATATATGGATACCAGGCAGGCTTCATGGCAGAGTTGTCCAAAACTTCAGGTCAGAGGAGGGTAGAGTATGAGTTAAGAAAGCCAAGGGGAAAATTGTCTTCCCACTTCTTTCATGCGTACATCTTTAGTGTGAAGTGAATAATGACATACCATGTTTCTGTTCAAGTCAGTGAGAGTTTTGACAGGAGGCAACGTGATCCATCTGGAATGAGGAGTCTAAGGACCTGTTATTTGCTGTAGTCCTTGGAAGCCCATTGAGTGTTGTGTGCCTCAGTTCTTTGTTGGCCATATGAAAAGGATGTTATTTACCAAACTTTCATAGATGGAAAATGTTTTCATATACAAAGCCATGTTACTGCAAGTTGGGGCTGATAGTGAAGGAACAGTGTAACTTGAATTGCAATTTACACACTGAAACAATGAGGTACTTTGATTCCTCTTCACTGTGAAAGGATTTTTGTGTACCTGAGTTCATCATCTGCTGAAAGATTCCACTTCCCAGGGAACTACAGATACACTTAATTATTGCAACTTTGCAAACACAAAATTCCTTCTTTGAATCGATGAGAACAGTGACTGTACAGTTATTGCCACAGCAGTGAATTATATTTTTATCCTCTTCTTTTTCATTTTTAGGAAGTTTTAGAAAGTTTTCATAGAGGTCAGACACAAGTGTCTGCTTCTCTTAAGCCTGTATGTAAGCTGTTCCAAAATAAGAGCACTTATAGCTTTGCTTCTTACTTTGTGATTTAAGCCACTCTTTGGTATCCAGGTATGTATTCTGGAGGTTGATGTGTCAATGGCTGCACCCCTGTTGGAGAAGGTGGTGCTGCAGACCATCAGAGGTCATTTATCATTGCTTCATTTTTATTGTTCTTTTAATCAATGTGTATATTTTTGTATATTTTCAAGGCAAAGGCAGGGGAAAATAAACAGAATTGGTGCAATCCACATGCATTGTGTGCTGCTGGGGAAGCCTAGTTAGGGACATGTAATGTTGATTACTCTTGCAGATCTGCATGCTGATGTATTCTCCTTCCATTCCAATTTTATTCCATTGTCTTAGTTCAGCATATGCAGAGCTGTATGTTTGCTAATAGAGTTAGTGGAGATCCTGTTATGGCAGCTGTTCTATCCAGGCGAATAGGGCAAACCCTGTCCAGTGAATTTAATGGTAACATTCTCAATTATTTCAGTGGTACCCTGGTTTTACTTACTAAACTTGGGAATTCTGGTGGGGTTTAGCCTGTCCATGGATGAGAGAATGACGATTCTCACCATCGCAGTAGATCTTCCACTTCCTATGGAGTCTTCTGTTGCTGAAACAGCCTCAATGATAAGACTTCCGATGAGAAGTGAGAAAACAGGAGGGATTGTCTGTCTGATGAAACAAACTCGTCAGATCCTTAGGAGAAGTAGTGATTGGGTGTGAAGAAACTAGGCCCATTCACACTTAAAATAGAGAGCATGTGAATGATAGATTGCAGTCCTAGATTCTTCATACTTCTGGGTTTGTTTTCTGTAAATGTTTTCAGTGGCTTGTTCAATTGAAATATATGCTGGACAGGACAATGGTAAGATTTTCTCACTAGCTGTGAATAGCTGTACAATTCACATCTGAGCAGTTAAGGATATAAATGCAAAAGTATATTGTAAGGTCTAAGAACTAAAAAGTTAACTATAGCAGTTAGCAATTCATTATGACGCAACAAGGAACATGTCAAAAATTGGTCTAGTATGGGAGCAATCTGTTTGGGTGAAACACACATTGTTTACCATAAGGATCGCTACGAACAGAGTACATAGTCTTTTCAAAGAATAAGAACTGATGGTCTTTTCCTTTTTCTTTTCAGGCAGCACAAATAGTCCTGATTTCTCTCTTTGAATTGAACACTCCTGAGTTTACCATGTTACTTGGTGCCTTGCCAAAAACATTCCAGGATGGTGCTACCAAGCTCCTGCACAACCACCTCAAGAACTCGAGTAACACCAGTGTGGTGAGAGGCCCTTGTCCTTGCAAACAGCAGAGCTCCAAAGACAGCAGCTCGTTGATAAGCTGTTTCAGATGCTCAGTAACATGAATTATCTGTAACTTTCTTAAAACAGAGGCGTCTATTTGATGTTGCTTTTATGGGAACCATTAAAACAAACATTCAGTTGTTTTTAAATTTAATATAGCCATAAGCAGTACAGACTGGGAGGTGGGAATTATAAAATTTGTGCTTTTGAAAATCTTGCCAGTAACAATCTTTTGGCTTAAACCAGAAATCCTGATACCGTGGATTTTCTGGGCCTACCACTACTATTGAAATCTGTTACATTGTCTTCTTGGAAGCTCACAGGATCTACAAGGTCTCCTCAGTCTACACCTAGAGGGGAGACCTACAAGATCTGCTCAGTCTAAACCTATTACATTATGCTTTGGTTTTACATGAAGCCCTTGCATATTTTTATTTCTCTGAAGCAATATGTTAGTAGAGGATTTAAGCATGTTTCTAAACCTCTTTTCCCCCCAGAACAGCAAGCATTAGGGCATTTTTGGCCTTTTCTATGTGGAAATCTTGTGAAACTTCCTGAAATTTGAACCCTCCTGTCTTTGCGCTTCTATAGGGACAAGTAGACCCTTTGTCTACGCTGGAACTGCAACATTAGGCTTCCAGGCAAATGAGTTGGGTTCTCTAGTACCTTTGACTTTGTGTGAACAGAGTCGTAATTGGGAGCAATTTCAACTCATTTTGGTGTGGTACAAATGGTTGTGGAGGCCAGTTGAAAAATGATAAGTTAGATTGCTTGCTTATGCTCTTAACAAGCACAATCAGAATGCTTTAGACAATGCGGAAAATAGCTGCATAATTAAATTGCTGAATTGCCAGGATAATGGTTTCAAGTTGAAGCTGGGCAAATAGTATCTGAGAAGCTGGGTAGCCTGCTGGATTGATAAGCCATTTATCTGGTAATATTTGCAGGCTGTGTGTGTTGCATAGTTAAAATTGCATGTACTGCGGACTGTAGGAAAGTGCACATGCATTCTCTATCCTCAGAGCAGTACCTTCAAGAACATACTAATGACTACATGAACAATGGGTACAGATTTTTAGGTCAAGAGCCAGAATCAAAACTGCGCTAAGTTTGTCTAGCACAAACAAAGGCAATATTTGGACCTGCTGTTGTGTGCTCCTGCCTGTGCATTGCAACATGTTGCTAATCCCTGTCTTCTGCCTCTGTGCCAGGGTTCCCCCAGCAATACCCTTGGTCGGACCCCTTCCCGGCACTCCAGCAGCAGAACGAGCCCCTTAACTTCACCTACCAACTGTTCCCATGGTGGGCTGTCTCCAAGGTAATGTGGCAGGCTAATTAAACCACTTAAAAAATATTAAAGGATTTCAACACCGAGTGTGCATTTGCAGAATATGACTCACTTTGAAAGCAAAAACAAGACCAAAAGTTTACAGTAGATTTCTCCAAAGAAACAGGGTTGGAACATTGTAATACGTGGTTGGTGATAGACTTCAGTGTTCCAGTCCTCATGTCATCTGTGTAATCTTAATGTCTTTTCTCATAGTACTAATTTTCTTTCATAACTAGGCCTTCTCCAGAACTACATTTGTGGGTTCAATAAAGGTAATATGAAATGGCAGTATTAGAAATGAGGTCTTGTTGGGGTTGCAAATAACATGAAGTATATGATGACTTTCATGTCAAGGGTTTCAGATTGTCTGTATTTTAGGTGTGCCCTTGTGCTCAGTAATTCATCTGACTGTAGTGCAGTGCTTGTGCTGTTGAGAGAAGTGCTGAATTTCCAGTTCCCCTTTTATGCTTTGTGAGGGTGCAGAACAAGCAGAGGTGGTGACTGTGTTTTAATGCTGAGTACCTCTCAAATCATTTTCCTGGCTGCTTACCAGAAGAATAGTGGCCTGATCCTTCAGGCAGCAGGTCTATTACAACCAGGTGTTTTGCTGAAGATGCAGGTGCTACCCTAGAATATATTGGTGCACTACAAAACATTTTATTTTGCAAACATGGACATTTGCATATGGGAAATGTTCACGTTTCACCCCATAAAAACTTAGAGCACTTGAGATGGGAATTTAAACAGTGTGCTCTGGCACTACAGAAATATTGGAGGAAGTGTTACGTTATTATTTAGAGAAGCTTTGATTTATGCTGGGAAAACTTGAGAGCTGCTGCTGTTGTCTGCCTGTCCTCTCCATGGGAGGTTGTCTCCCTTTATCATGGAAGAAATGGAAATATGTTGGGTGAGGACTGCAGTTTGTAGTCCACTGTAGTAATTTACACTGAAATTTAACCCTGTCATGATGTGCTAACCCATGGCTGGAGGGATACTTAGACATGTGAGTTCCCATGTGTCAGGAAAAATACAGGCTTTTAGCCTTTCATGAGGAGTTAAACTAATTCCAGCAGCATATGAGGAACACATGGGGTTTCCTGAGAAAATTCTAGATACCTAAATACATCTTTGTGACCCCTAAATCTGCTGTAATCCAAAACTAGAGTGGGTGGTTGCAAGCCAAGGTCAAGTTGCCTATTATGAGTTTTTTTTTAACAAAGTTTTCATTAAGAAATTAAGTGGTAGAGTTTCAGGGGAATGGTTCCATCTATGTTGCTTCCTTTTTGACTAGTCTGAGCATTGTTGCCCTGCTGATTTGTCATGGGAAATCATAAACTGAGATATATCTCCCTGTGGTTACGTTGTGGCTTTGTTGGCCACGTTTGCATGTGGCACTTATTTTATAAATTCATGACCTTTTACCATGCTTTTTGGGGTTTTCCACTGGGACATGACAGTGTGTTGCCACTTCACTCACCGCTTTTCAATTTGTCTTTGCATTCTTTTCACCTCTTGATGTCAGGATGCATGTATCAAATTATTGATTGAAGTTTTCAGCCAACGGTTAATACTATGTTGCTGTTGTTTTCCAGCATTTTGGGTTTAGGAACTGGAGGGGGTTTTCCTCTGTGATGTTCTCAAGGAATAGTTAGAGAGGGCATGTAATTCCAGAGCATTCTGCCATTAAGTTGTCAAGACCAAAACTGCCATTGATACGGTGGGCCAGGAATTTCTTTTAGGAAACAGTCATTCATTCCTTCAGTTTTCTGTGGAACTCTTGGAGATAGTGATCCAGAAATGTAGGTGTCATTTCAAGAAGGTTGTCTGTCTTCCTTGCTGGATTTAGTTATTCAAGGATGGTGAGTCAAAGATAATCTTCAATGATAGGTGAAGGTGGGAGCTGCTGTAAAAGCCCTTTAAAATGAACAGAGGAGAAGTTCTACCTTATTTTTTGTGAGTGACCTCTGAGCAGCAGCATTAGCTGCTAATTTTTACTGTTTGTAGAAAAGTTGGTGGCAAGTACTGCAATCAGTGGCAGTGGCTTCTGATGCTCTGCTGGACTGCATCCTTCTTGAAAGTATCTTGTGTAGCAGTTTGAGCATATTTCTGACTTGGAGAACAAAGGAATTTAGCTCTGTTTCTGAAGAGTACATGTGGCCATCCTTCTTTTAAACAAAAAGCTTCAGAAGTATGCTAACAGATTGCAGGAAGTAGGGTACACTGCAGTACCCTATCTGCAGTCTACCTGCAGGGAGTAGACTGCGATACTGTTGCAGTTGTTAGTATAGATGCTTGTGTGTCATGTTTTCATTACAGATGCTTGTCGTTTGCTGTTCATCAGTGATGTAAAATGTCACTTTTCTCTCTACAAACCTGGAAAATGAGCACACTCAAGTCAGTCTGATAGCAGTATAAAAGGATCAAGATTCCCAAAGTTTCTCTGTGTAGCCCTTCTCCAAAACAAGGCTTGGCTTTACATTTTTGTGGGACCCATTGTCAGTGGGTTGTACTAAGACTGTGTATGCCCATTGTTTCCTAGGGTGCTCCATGTACAGGCCCTGCTTACCTTGTCCATGCCTATGTCTTTTACAGCAGCCTGAATGCAGCCAGTTAAGAGATTATCTCCAGTTCTTAATGCCAGTTTTGAAGATTATACTTTTCTTTACCTTTTTTTTCTTGATGCATAGATTGAAGTACTCTCATCTAGAGACATATATGTCTTTGGGGCTGGGATACGTGCAGAAAGAATAGTTTGGCATGTGTCCAAATATAAACATTCTACTAAGCATAGCTGCTCTCCCATATAACTGATGATTTGTGGACAATATCTTCAGTCAGCAAGGCTTTGTTGATACGGACTTTCTATAGTACATGTGTGTGCCATAGCCCTTGGGTTACATTACTTCTTCCATAATATTGCCATCACAACTGAATTCCAGATGACTGATTTTTTTTTTTTTTTTGTGTGTGTGTGTACTTACGTGTTCATGGGTAGATTTTGAATGTTTTGCTTGAACTGGACTTTATGGATGCAAACAGCTAATTTGTCTATCCATATGATAACATCTGCTTAAGTATCCTCTCGTGTTAGTGTCTTCAGAAGGGTAACGTGCTTTCAGGGCCTTGGGCAGAGTCCTTCCTGCTTTCATTTGCTCCATCCAGTTCTGCTTCATGATCACTAGAACATATCCACTTCATCTGTGAGTTACTTCTGCATTTGTACCTGCTTTTTTTTTTGTCTTGACAGTTTTAATTTTTGGGGAAGAGGAATTATGGAGGAAAGAAGTGTTTTCTGAAGATGAAAAGGAGGGAGGGCACCTGTGAAGACTGAAAATAATAGGAAAAAAACCCAAATTTCTAACTGAGAAGAATGTTTCCTGAGCAATGCTCGGATGAATGGCTTGTGTTAGACAATCTGAGATTTAGTGAATGATTTAGTATGACAGAAAGGAAAATACTAAGTTGTGAAGTTCTCCAGTGTAAGAATACCGTTCTGAATAGCAAATGAACTTCTGTAAACTCAAATGTTACATTCAGGTTGTGAATTTTCACCTAGGATTCTATAGGAATATTTGAAGGAACAACAGTTTAATATATTTGCTCTACTGTTTCTGCCTTTATTAGTAGCCCAGAAACCTGTGCTCAGATCAAATTATTAGAAAAACAAACCCCAAAAAGTAAGTTCAGTCCTTCAAAGATCTCTAGAGGAAATGCCACAAAATAAGGGGTAATGATTTTATCTGTCTGTGTAAGTTTGTGCTTGTTTTTTTCCCTGATAATAGAAAATACCACTAAAAATAAAATTTCAGTATTAAGTTGAGCAAGGCATGGAAAAAAGAATTAAAAATAGCCACTCACTTTATACAGTGATAACGAGCCTGCTTTGTTTGGTGGCCCATGTGCAGGTAGGTGTTTCTTACCTGTGAACTGTGAGACTTCTGATCAGCAGCGCGGGTGTCTGGTGTATTTCTGTAATAGTTGCATGTAATAGCTATGTTTTTTGATTGCTGGTTAACAAGTAAATTTCTTGACACCACTCTTAAGAGGAAATTTTTTCAACTGGCTTTGCTGCTGTTTGCAATTCTTGACTCGATTGCTGCTTCCGATCTTCAATATCTGTCACTTTCGTCTATACAAATGTGACTTTCCAAGATAGTGTTATTAAACTTAATAGAAACAAAGCACTGTCCTGAATACTCTACCAGCACAAGCATCTATATTCTCATTTAGAAGATGATTTTGAAAATCTGTGAAGCAAACAGGGAATGGGACAAATGCAATTGGCATGGGTATGGAGTGCCTTGACCCAAAAGTGCAGGATCAAACAGTAATCAGAAGGAGCTTGTGGAATTTTGAGAGATCTGAAATGACTTAGAGGCTGGTTTCATCCAGTCTCTCCAGGTTTTTCTGCTGAGACCTGGACCAAGTCGCTAGTTTACAAGATAAGTTTCCACTCTAGACTGATTTCCACTTGCTGCATATTTGGGGTCAGTTGAATCTGGTAAAATAGGATCAGATCTCAAGCCCTGCGAAGATATGCTGGTTGTGTAGGGCCTGATTGCAAGGAGCCAAACTTTACAATGTACCCAACTTTACTTTCTTTCAGGGAAATCCTGTTGCTCACAAGTACCTGGGATATGTGGTCAGCGATTGCTTACTTAGAATATGTTGGGTTGTTTATGGAAGCTGTATCCATTTATAAAATGTATATTTAGTAGAAGCAGGGACTATTTTAGTGCGAACTGTATCGTTACATTAGGAATAAAAGTGGAAATGAGTAACAACGGCCAAAACAATGACTTGTGAGGTTTAGTGGAGTATTCTTGTTTAATTTTGTTTCTATTAATTTTTTTCTCTCTCCAAGGCAGCATGACAGCACTAAGCCACTCAGATTATAGTTTCTTTTTTTTTCTCCCTCTCCTCTCTGTTTTTTCTCTTTCATTTCTCCTCTGATCGCGGCAGTCGGTTCTGGGGTTGGAGTGCAGATGGGCTGTCGAAGCACCCCCCTCCCCTTTCTCAGCCTAACTCCATCCCCACTGCTCCTTCCCACAAGACTTTCAGACGCTCTTACTCTCCCAGGTAACAAGCTACCTGTTAAACCAACTTGTCTGAGGTGTCACAGTATTATTTACCTTTCACACTGTGGGATTTGTTCATATATGGGAAATGATTTGCAGAGCCTTTGGTTGGAAAAGGAGAAGAGGTAATGATAGCTTTCAGACAGCAGAGGTGACAGGCAGCCACTTGCTAGCTGCTCAGGGAAGATATGGCATGCAGGTCGGGGGGGGAAGTGGTTTTTTTCCAGACTTCCTCCCTGCCAGGTTGCTGGAAGGGTGTATGTTTCACAGTTGGCTTCCAATGCAGAACACAGTTACTGGGCACTTTCAGCAGGCACTGGTTGCATTATGATAGCACAGGCAGGGTCTTTAAACTTGGGTACGTTGTGCAAGCAGCACACAAGTACTTTCTAACAGGCAAATACAGCTTAGTAGTGATTTCACATTTGCGGCAGTGAATACCTGTAGGGCAGTGAGGATGAAGCTTGCACAGTGTGATTGTAGATGGAAGATTTAGGATTGAAATGAAAATTGTCCTTACCACAAGATTTAGGTTATCAGTCCCTAATTTTGGCATCTCTTTTTCTTCCTGTGCTATCATATTTTCTTGAAGTCTACATACAGATCTTTAGTCAGTATAGTGGACTAAACCTGTATACTGATTTTAATAAAAGAAAAAAAAACAAACCACCTTCTAGATACAAATATAATTTCTCAGACCTTTATGTTAAATTCCTTGAATTTTTTTTAAGTTTATACACTGACAACAGGTTTATTTGTCAGGAGAAATTACATCTACAGAAAGCCTATTACCTGAAGAAGGACTACATAGTCTTTCCTTGAAGCAAGAAGTTCCTAATGAAAAACTATTGAAAGAAAAGCAAACAAATCGTTCTTTGAGGGCTCAAAATCTGGGAATCTGTGACGTCTGAGAGAGAAGATAGAATCCCATAGTCCATACCTCTGTAAATACCTGCAGAATTAAAACCTTTAATCAATGTTCTGACTCTTCTAGGACATGAAAATATCTGTGGAAGAGATGCATGTTGATTTTTGGAGTTAAAGTAGTTGAGAATTTTTTTCCTCCTTCCATTATTTGACACCAAGGTTTAGAATAATTTGACATTTCAGCCCAGAGCCTGAAAGTGCAAGGAGGTGAATTACTGTGTACTGCTTGAGGATACTAAACTGTTGCTTACTTACACATATTTTGAATTGGAAACTGAATAATAGTTTATGGAAATAAAATGTATGTTATGTCAGACTGGAAAACTGCCAAATTATATCTTGATAAAAGTTGTAGAGAGCTGCATTGCTTTAGTGCAGCAGAAGATGGAAAATAATGTTGTGACATCCCTAAACATTGCTCATCTCTACTTCTTATTCATCCTGTGACTTTCCTCTAGTTTCTGCATGGGTCATAATTCGTTTTGTTTCTGTGCCCCCTTTTTTCTTTTCCTTTCTGAAAGGTGGGTGTAGTTCCATTTTTATTCCCCCCCCCCCTTGTGTTGTCTGTGAACTATTCCAGTGCACATACTGTCAATAGACATGTGTGTTCACATACAGAGATTTTGTTCATCTAGAACACAGCCATAATGTGATCTCCTACACAGGCTTACTCTTGACATATGAAATCACTGGATACTTTAGATTTTTATTAAAATGTGGGTTTTGTGCTTTGAAAAATGCATTGGATCAGTGGCTCTTTGTTGAGAAATTGCCTTAGTCCTGTAGCATTGCAGAGTCTGTACTTTGATCTGTTCTTTGGTAGCAGTTTAGGGCAAAATTCATCCCTGATGAAAGAAGTGATGATCGTAGCAGATTTAGTGTCAGTATATCTGTAATTATTTCTTGTTGTTTGTTTTTTTTTTTTCCATGAATTTCATTGTCATCTCTTAGTATGGGTACGCAGGTACAGTCACATGTATACCTTCTCAGATGGCAGTTTAATTGCTCACTTAAATACTGTATGAAGAATGCCTTAAGATCTATGAATTAAACATGCTTGAGCTCAAAATTAATGTTTTTGAGATCATAGGAAACAAAGGTTTTCCTATCCCTGCCTGAGACTTATAAAGAATTTAAAAACTGCCTTCACTTTTGTCTGAAAAGTTATCACAGTGCATTAGTGTCATTCAGCTGTCTGAAAAGCCCCAAATACTTTGAGTTCTGTAGGTTTATAAACAGCTTTTGTTTCCAGATCTTTGTCTTTAAGTGGTTTCTCTTTCTTCCTGGCTTGACAGACACTGTTTAAAGTTGGGGAGTTGTTCTTTGGTCTCTTTGCCAGAATACATGGTGCTGATGCTTGTATGAGTGTAGTGCGAGCATATTGCTTGGGAGCCAGGGATTATGGCTATTTTCAGTGTGTTAATCCCAAAGGAATCAGGCAGCACCAATCTTTCCCTCTGACTGAAGTGCCTGAGTTTCTTCCAGAAAAAAAAACAAAAAGCAGTGGTTCTAGATATTTAGCATCCTACTTTTAGTTCTGTTGAAAATAATAGCTGTGTACCCTGGACTCGGAAGGGATTTTCCCTTTTTTATGTTTTTCCTTGCCCACCTCACAGGGAATCTTTCTTTTGTGGAAAACAAACACAGCCCTTTGTTCAACCATCCTCCTCTCTAAGCCCATCCTGTCATCTTTCCCAAACTGTTAAGAAATAGTAACTCACCCCTGTAGGGAGCCACTTCTTGCCATTTATTGACAAATAACTTGATGTAAATATTTCAAATTCTTTTGGTTTATTTGCTTCTGGCTCTGTTAAGATCCAAGACTCCACCAGAGAAATTGGTCTCAGTTGACTGGGTCTCTTTGTTCATTCTCTCTCAGAAAACTGATTGTCATGCAAACTTAACTTCTAGACAGAGCAGAACCCTGGCAATAATGCCTTTTCATTTTGTTTGAGCTTGTAGGACATCCTCTTCTTAGACAGATCTTTTAATATCATCTGCCCTTGCATACAAGGCTTTTTTTCATGGAACTTAATTTTGGATAACTCCTCAAGGGATCCCAAAACTTGTGTGGCTTTATGCTGCTGAGAAATTTATGAGGAACAGACAGACTGCAAGAAAGTATCAGATTTGAGTTAAAGAATTCCCAAACTTAGGCTCAATACTAAAATGCATTGTTTATCAGGCATTATGCAAGTGGTTTTGGTTTTACTGCTCTATAAATGAAAATGGGACATGTTAGACTAAGTTTTACATCAAGATACATTTTCCTTTTAATTTGAATCTGTCACATTTGAATCCATTGATAGACTGTATTTGATGTATTATGAAACTTAAATTTCATTAATTTCATTTCCACCAGTTGTCACAGCCCTTTAAGTTTTCATAGTAAATGATTTTATTTTCCTTTTTAAATAACATCATTACTGTGCTGGGGAGAGCTTGGCATTTTTTATTTACAGAAGCTAACACTTCACTGCTGTTGAATGTAACTGTGACTTCCCCTCACAGTGACGTAACACCACTGATTTCAGTGAAGTTTCTCCTAGATTTAGTCCCATTTGAGGGGAGACTCAGACCCAAAGTCTGCTTTGATTCCATCCATGTTTTGTTACAAGTCACTGTTACAAAGGGTACACCAAATCATCCGTCTCCAGCTTAGCAGTGTTTTTCTTAACAGTCAAGAGCAGATTCCAATTTCATATGTAACATTTCACATACGTTTGGTCTTTAGTATGCTGGATTATGACACGGAGAACCTAAATTCTGATGAAATCTACAGCTCTCTTCGTGGAGTCACAGAAGCAATAGAAAAATTTAGTTTCCGTAGTCAAGAGGACCTGAATGAGCCAATCAAACGTGATGGAAAGAAAGACTGTGATATTGTAAGTATTGGATTGATTACCATCCCCAGATAGGTGAAATTTTAAAATACTGTGTTCAAACCTGGCTTTGGATTGTTAGTGTATAAAATCCAGTTATTCCTGCTGTATTCTTACAAGTATCTTTGGCTTGCTAACTTCTTATACCTAAATTATAGGGGCCCACTAATGTGGTCACTTGCTCCCTTTGAACTGTAGCCTTCTGTGAAAAGTGCTTTCTGGTGTTCTGTGGGAGCCTCATACAAAGATCTGGTGTTCCTCAAGCTCAGATGAGAGTGTATGTAGTCAGGTCTGTGATTGGAAATGTTAGGTCTTAAAATTAATGGGTGCTTTCCCTCACAACCTTATTTCTTCATATATAGGAAGGAACTATAACCACTCAGTGCACAACTCATACATTATACTACATGAATGGTTATGGAATTATTTACCGTGTGAGGGGCCATTTATTTCATTAAATATGTGGACTTCAACATTTCCAAATATCTTAAACGATGATCCTTACGGGTCCTTTCCAACTTGAGATATCCAGTGACTCTATGACAGTTTTGCTTCCTGGACAAACAAGTTTATGTTAGTAGATTAAGTTAGCCTTCAAAGCTAAAAATTCTTGGTCCAAGATTCTTCTTCTAGACCCTTCTGTTGTTCATTCTGTGTGAACTTGCTAAGCATCATTCAGTCTCCTCTGTCTCTGGTTTGTGAAGTTTCATGAGGAGGATGTTGCTTTTGCTTCCTTTCCCTCTCTTATCAAATTGGTTTTGTTCCAGAGGTTATTACCTTTGCCAGCTTGTGCGGTTTTAGCAATATTAACTTAGATTTAGGAATGTTAGTATGGCTTTTTGCCCTATGATCATGATATATTTTTGGAACGCTTGTACTTATGTAAGGGAAAGAGGTGGTAATCTAAGTTTTACTCAAGTATTATGTTTAAACAATTCTATGCCTCTTCAAGGTGGGTGAAATCCAAAAGAAAAATACAGGGTTTGAGCAATCTCATGTTTTTTCTCTGTTTGATTCCCCAGGTGTCTCGAGATGGTGGCCTTGCTGTGCCTACCAGTGATGTCCGTGGAAGCAGTGACATTGTGGAAGGTGGAAGGATGGCTCTAGATAACAAAACTTCCCTACTTAACACCCAGCCTCCCCGCGCCTTTTCAGGGCCACGTGCTCGAGAATATAACCCCTATCCTTATGCTGACACAATTAACACCTATGATAAGACTGCCCTGAAGGAAGCAGTGTTCGATGATGACATGGATCAGCTTCGGGATGGTTTGTATCAGCGTGTACCATAAAACTGCAGGCAGCTTACTCTGTTTCTGGTCTTTTTTATTTATGGGTAGTGCTCTCAGGTACATGTCTGCACATGGATATGTTGTGTATTACTTCATATCTTAGTCCAGGCTTGGTATGAAATACATTTTGTTCTCATGTGCCAGCAGAACCTCATGTGTGGCTATTTCGAAAATGTTATACTGCAGTTTTGATTTTTGTTTGCCTAGAGTTTTCCCCAAGCTAGTCCCTTAAGCATCTAAATGCATCTATAGGGACACTATTTTGGGGACCTTCCACTCTTTGACATCTCACTCAATAGCTTGTTACTGAGCATTTAACTTCATTTAAGCGATGTTACACCTTAGCTTTATTCTTTTGCACCGGTGAGTCACTGTACTTTGATCTAAAGGTCATACATGTGATCACTGGCTTTGGGTGTGTGTGTCTGGAAAAAACCGCGACAGTTCTTGCAGAAGTAATTATTGGAACTGGATGAAATTCAGTTGTCATCTCTTCCTGGTTCGTTAGAAGCCATGAGCTGTGTTATGAACTTAGGTGAAATTGTGGACTATTTGGATTCTCTTGCCTGCTTGACTGGGGCCTCCTGGAATTAGATGCATTTTGGGGGAGCCCTTGTTATGTGCACTTTGTTCTGTAGAGGGTTAGTAATCTTGGCATCTTTGATCTTTTTCCCTATTTCCCCAAGTGATTTGTTGCCATTTGTCCTAGAAGTGCCCATTGACCATTCAGATTTGGTGGCCGATCTTCTGAAAGAGCTCTCCAACCACAACGAACGAGTGGAGGAGCGGAAAGGAGCTCTCCTGGAACTGCTGAAGATCACAAGGGAAGATAATCTTGGAGTTTGGGAGGAACATTTCAAAACCATTCTGCTCTTGCTGCTGGAAACTCTGGGAGACAAAGATGTGAGATGCAGATTTTTGTCTTAATTCTCCTGGTATTGCTTCACCTAGGGTGTTAGTTTCTCCACACTAGTTTAAATGAAACCTGCTGCATTTGTATAGCACCTCATCAGTGATGCTGCCCTACTCATTTTTTTTTTCTTTTGAAGGTTGATAACTCTGCTTTCATTTTCAGTATGTTCAATGATGAGTTTTAAGCTACTCTGATGTGTCCCAATTTTCCCCTCTCCCTTCTGAGTGCTAGTAACAAACAATTAGGAAATTGAACTAGAATCAGAAAATAAGTTATCTTCTAATCTAGTAGAAAACCTATGAAGATTCAGAAGCTGTCCCCTTCCAACTTACAACAAAGTTACAAGCTCTTAACTATATCACGCCCATTCCCCCAAAAAAGAAGAATAAAGGCAGCTTTGAATAGATTATTCTTTTTTTCTCTGTGTGGTTAAAAGATCCAGGCTATCAGATCTCTTGGGATGAGTCTCTGTCTCTTGCAAAAATGTCATCAAGAATAAACAGCTATTATGGGGCATCTTGTTTTGAAGTATTAAAAAAAAAAGCTGTGTTATTATCACAGCTTTATATTTGGTAGTTGATCAAAGTGGTAATTTACAGGCTAGCCACTTGGGGCTATTTGTTCAGATTGCAGCACAATGATATTTGGTAAGTATCAGCACGCTGCTGCGCCTTCACATCAGAGCCAATGCTTCATCTGAATGTTACAGTATTTAGGCTTCAAAGCACTTTTTTTGTTTCATCTGATTCAAAATCCATTGTCTTTCTTATGCTTCTTGTAAAGCATATGGTGCACATGCTTAGAAATTTTAATTCTGAAGCAGTGTAGGTGGCTGATATTTTCTCATTGTTCATAGTATAAGCATGAGCTACTCTAGTCCTACATGTTTAATCATAGCCTCATCACAAGTGTATCAAAAGATCTGGTGGCTTTAAGTACGTATGTGTTGTGCTACTGCATGAATTTTGCGACATGCTTTAAAGGCCAAGTATAGAGTAAAATAAGTATTATTCTGTTGAAATGATAGAATCTATTTGGAGTGGCCACAGGCCAGAAACTCAATGTAACAGTTATGAAATGGAAGCAGGTGTTATAAATCCCTTCTACTAATGATCTTTTGATATAAAGGATTAACACGTAGTTCAGTGTTAACTACAATGACTTAACTGTTCTTGAGAGTTATTTTCATAAGAGTTACAGGAAGAGAGTAGATTTTACTGTGTTAATAACATGAGAAGTAACTTTGGAACCCAGGTTGATATCTGCAAGGCTAAGCACAAGAGGAAAGGCAAAACAAACACTACCTGAACTGCTTTGTAGATTCATGTGATACAAATACACTGCTTTGGGTACAAATTTGTATTTCATTGCCAAAAGATTATGGAATTTAACAAAGTAGACTAATTCTGTGACAACAGTCATTTTATGTGAATTTTTGGGCAAAAGCAAACAAGGAGACCAATTCTGGATTTCAGTTATATTGATTACACTGTTCACTCTGCTGGAGCTGGTGCAATATAAGTGCAGTATAAGATTTCGGGCGGCATAGGGACCCATAGAATTTACTTCAAGCTATAAATTTGAGAACTGGCTTTTTCTAACATGGATTTGATTCCTCATTACACAGCATTCAATAAGAGCCCTGGCACTGCGAGTCCTGAGAGAGATCTTACGGAACCAGCCAGCAAGGTTTAAGAACTATGCAGAGTTGACTATCATGAAAACACTGGAAGCACATAAAGACTCCCACAAGGAGGTGAGTGAGCGCCTTTCAGTGTTGCTACTGGAAAAACAGTATGGACCTGCTGAAGAAATGTAGGACTTGTGAGACTTAATAGGCAAACATGTTGACCTATCTTTTGACATAAGTTTCCCAAGTACAAAGAGACAGGGATTTTACATGCTAAAGCAGGGAGGAAACGAGTTAAGACTGACATTGCTGTTTAAGTGGACTTGGAGCTATCAGCTTTCCAGGATTTCCTTGGTCATTCTGGGAGAGGCTGAGACCCTGTAGTAGAAAACTGCATGTTTAATAATTTTGCAAAGCACACTGGAGTCGCTGTGTCTGTATGGGTAAGGATAAGCAATGCACTGGAGAACACAAAGCCCATGTCCAAGCAGATCCATCTATGAAAAATGAATGATGAAATTGGGCCTTTCTGGAGAATTGGGAACTGGTGAGCAACAGGAGAAAATGGACAGAGGCCATACTGCTGAAAAGAAGCTGGGGCAGAGAAAGAAGCAAAGGGCAGGGTGAATTGCATTTTCTTTTTGTGAGAGAACTTGAACTGAAGGTATTCTTCTGGAATTAAACAAAAATCAAGGGACGTGATGATAACATTTGAAGTAGATCAAATTACATTTAAAGTCAGTCTTTGTAGATTGACTTCCAAGCTGAATCTTTTATTCTGCCTTGTGCATGTTGCAAGTTTGAACTAAACCTTGGAAAATGCCATGTGAATTTTTCTGTCTGTGATGGCTTTGTTACCAAAGTCCTTGGTTTGAAATCTAAGACACTTATTCTTCTCTGCAACAGGCTTGTCCTGAACTAGCAATTTCAGGCATCTCTGAAGAGCTTTGGCCATGAAAAAGATCTATTGTATAGATCAGACTGCTTCAGAGCATTGTGTAACTAGCACAAGGTTACGTTAGGTGTGCATAGCAGAAACTGAACTGTTTAAAAATTAAAATAACAAAACAAAAAACACCCTCAGGGAAAGAAAGAGGCTGGATTTCTCTAAAATGCAAAAGTAGAAAATGGTTAATCCTTTAGTGAATGAGGACTGCTGTACTCTGCCTACCTTCCTTTCCTTGATTTTAAAGCCTTAGCACTCCTGTCATTTTCAGTTCAGAGTAATAAGAACGAGTTGTAAATTGATTTCCTGATAAAGCAATCAGACAAAACATTATGTTCTGAAGGAGTGCCTTTTACTGGCAAGTTTTCCTGGTTGCATACTTCAGTTCACCTTGACTCAGTGCTCTTTGCATTTTATTTTTTTTTGAGAGTCCTCCAAAACTGCCATTTCTAATAGGATCTTTCCAGATTCTCTGGCATTGTTTTAATGCCCCTCATAATTCAGTGTCCTCATGGGACCAGTGTTTTTATAGAAATCAAGAACAGTGTTGAAAACATGACTTTTTATGCCTCTCTACTCCCCATACTGTGTTCTTCATGCCTGTGGTACAGAAAAGTTCTTCAGGATTTGCTTGAGGTGCTTCTTGAGGAAAAGCATAGAAGAAAAGTCTGCTAAAGAGAAAACAGAGCTTAAGCCAAGAATGAAGAGATACGAGTTTCGGCACTTATTTATAGAATAATAATGTAGTTGTATTAGTATCAGCAAGTAGATGCTGTGCTGTGCACAGCATGGCTTTGATTTAAAATAGTTTTGTGTAGCATCTTTGCAATTAAAAAAAGAACATACATGCAGCTGCTGCAGTGAGAGCTTTGGGTGACAGCTGTCATAGCAGGACACTGCAGGTGTATTCCCATTTTACTATCTGTTGCTAAGCAATTGTGTGCACAGCTGTATCAAATGTGTTGGTGGTGGGTTTTTCATTCTATACATGTGGGTTTTGTGAGCCTTGTGTAAATGGGGCTCTCAGAACCATGATATATCTGGCTGTCAGTAGTTTGAGACTATCAGCTTTAATGAAATTAAGAAAGGTTTCCCAACCTGCTCTTGGGTATCTACGTGAGCTAGGCTAAAGATACACCTAGGGATATGCTCTAGGTATTCCCTGTAGCTGGGGCTTGCCGATTCAGTTATATGTGTGAAAAATTAACTGAGAGTCTGTCTGAGCATGGCTCAGTTGGTCAAACTCATAGCCCTGGGCCAGAAGGTCACAAATTCCCATGCCATGGTGACCCCTCCAGCTTGCTCTCACTGCTGACTTTGCAGCACTACTCTCTTCAGGAGGGGGTGGAGAAGCTGCCCTGTTTGACTTGATCCTACTGAGCAGTAGGAGCTTAAGAGACAATTCACCAGTTTGCAATTAAAGGCCACTTTGAAAGAATAGCTGCAGAAGAAACGGAGAAACAGGAAAATGTGAGTGGTCTGTTCTGTAGTTACCTTTTTTACTAAATCAAGGCAATGTTAAAGGTAGTGGTGCACCAGCTACATAAATGAAGGCTTTCTCTGGACTGTAAAACTTATTTCAAGGTAAGCTGCTAAATAATTTGGTTAAGAAAGTGTTAATCCTTGTGCCAGTGATGCCCTAATAAGATGTCACTCTAGGACTTTCTATGTTTCTGAGCTGCTGCTTTTAGTAGAAAGACAGGAGTGATCCTGTTGAATGGTTTGAGATGAAGATTTTGCTCACATTTTCTGTTATGTGTAACCCACAGAGAATCAATCTGAAGTGACCAAGCAAAGAGAGTTTGCAGAAGAGCACATTACAGAGCTGTTAATTTTGGGTACTGAGTCCTGGAAGTCACTATACCAAGAGGCAGTGCTTTGGAAATGAAGAAGTTTCATCTTCTACCCAAATTTGAATATTGCTGCTGTTCAGCATGGCCAGGAGGGATCAAATAACAAATTATAACCAATGCATTCACCAACCAGCAAATACCACCCCTTCCTCCAATTGAGTGCTGGTATCTTTAACTAGATACCTAGTTAAAGATATCTACATATTTTTATTTTGTTTGAAATAAAAAAGGTCTGTGATTTTATTCCAGATTTTATAATTGGAAGTATGAAAGCAGCATTAACATAGATAGGTATTTTGGGGTGCCTGAATAATTGGCTGGTTTTACAAGTCCAAGCAGAAGTCTTCAGACAGTTGGATCTTTGTCATGGCTAGAACTCTTCTGCCTTCTGTTGCTGAAGGCAAGGTCTAGGATCAGCAGAGCAGCATGGCTATGAGAACCACTTCTTTTCCCAGGGACATTGAAGCAGAAAACTTGGTACGTAGAGTTGAATGCTGAGTTGTGCCTTGTGAGCACAAATAGAGGAGACTGGCAAAGCACAGACCTCAGTGGGGTTCAAAATTAATGTAACCCTAGGCTACAGGCTAGTAGACTCTGGGCTGGGATTCATGTTTAGTTTGCTTTTTTTTTTTAACTTCAGCCTGGTTTTATACTGTTTATAGTGTACCAGCCTGTTCTGTGCTGTTGATTTAATGGGGTGATGTGAAGAGTCAAGCCTGCTTCAGTCATAACTGTAAATATTTATGGGGGTTGACATGTAAATGCTTTTCACTTATTTTTGGAGCATTAGAACATAATTGAAGTTGTGGATGGTATTAAATCTTGTTGATTTTTATCACTCTTTGTTTGGAGTTATTTGGAAGAGAACCATCTTTCTGTTGCCAATTAGTTAATATTAACTCATTTGTTCCAGTGTAGTTACCCGTAAGTAAGGAGAGATTCTGCCTTCGGACCAATACCGTTGATGTGACATTGCTTCAGATTCATACCAGCAAAATGAGAAGTTCTTATTATTGAGTATTTTAAAACAGAAGTAGTTCATTAGCTTGGGAAATTGTTAGTGAAAATCATAGGATAGCTAATTCCCTGCTTCTGTCTCTGCCACTCTGATTTTCTCAGCCACTAAGAGAATGTGTAAGGAAGGGATTTTGGGCTTTGTCTTAGAAACCTAATTTTGGTCTTTTATTATCCAGAAGGTCCATAAACATAATTGGGATGTACCATTCTCTGTTGTAATCCTCTAAAAGAGGGTAAAAAAAGAAGAAATCGCAGCTATCCAGTAGCTGTAGATAATTAGCTTGCTGAGGTGCTTTTAGACTGGCCTCTGATATTTAGAAGATGATTTGTAACTGATGATGGAATGAGTTATATAGGTCTCTGCAAAATGTAGTTTACTAAAGAAGGAAAGCACTAAATGATCACAGTCTTTAAGGTTAACTGATACATAGTCTGTGCTGGAAGCTGCCAAGCACTGTATCAGCTGATGTTTCATAGTATATGTTTATGTGCTTTTTCTAATTTCCAACACATTTCAAATATTTAGTGCACAGGAGAAGCAGTCTAATCTACTTCATCTCCTCGGAATCCCTTATAAAAATCACATTAGTTTTTTATCTGCTTAGCACTCCTCACTGCTGAGTCTACTTCCTGCTTTGAAATCAAATTCTTAATTGTTTGTTCCTGTCTGGATCAGGCCGTAAAGCCTTCAGGGGTGGGAGTTTGCCTGTCCTAGGTATTGGTAAATCTCCATCCCCTCCAGCTTGGATTATGCAGGCTTTAAGTAACCCCCTCTAGATGGCAAAAAATTGGCTCAAAAACACAGCTGCATGCATGTAAGCCTGAAAGAAAAACCTTGTCCTTCTGCTTAAAAAACTTCTCTGGTGCTCTGCTATTTTCACAGTAGCATACAAAGCCTCTGAGTTTTCAGTGGGCTTTTACCTATGCTGCCTCATCATCTCTGACTTTCTGCAGAGATGGTGCAGCTAGCAATCATGGCAAAGCATACTGCAGATTATGGTCCTACATGCAGCTCTCATTCAGGTGTACAGGTGCTCTGCTGAGATCCCAGCGTGTTACACTGATGCCCTGTGTAGCTTATGAACCTGGCATGTTTTGCCTTAGGTGATTCAGGACCTACATTTTTCTTTCCTTATTTGCCAGTAGTTTGTGTCACTTCAAAGCAGAAATAAAGCCATCAAAACCATTCAGAAAGCTGGTGTATATTGACCAAGAGCAGATTACCATAAGAAGCTGCTTGCTGCAGCCGGCAGGCAGCAAAGCAACATCTCTTAACACACTGAGAGTAATAGCTGAGCGGAAGAAATTCT